ATTCATTAATCTCATGCTAATCTAGTTAGTAGGCTATATCTTAACCGCAGTATTTATAGTAAATGTCGTGTTTAGAATAGACTTGAAAAAACCTCTATATATTTTTCTCTAATTTTGTTGTTCTCGCTTCCAAGTAACATCCACTGGTTACAAATTGTTTCAATTCATTAGGTTGTCTCCCTCGCTGGTTCAAGCATTTTACTCCATTTATCACTTTCATTGATATCATCTTCACCGGTTTAACGAGACTAATGCACGTTTAACTCTTAGCTCACAATAACTTACGTTACTGGTCGGTTGCCAGTTTATGCGTTCCCAGTTATAGTGACTAAGAAGAATCGTGTATAAGGCCTTTCATCAATTATGTACCGTATATAATTGATTGGCACTCGTTAAACTTCACATTCTGTCGCAATATTCCTTTAATTATAGACATTGACTATAAGCACTTTAGGCACTTTCAGTGTGCCGGCTTGTTTCATCGTTGATCCAAAACGACAGCGACGCAAACTTGCACCAAGCGCACTGTTAGTAGATAGGTAATCTTAAGATTTTTGAATCTTTATTCATTAATCTCATGCTAATCTAGTTAGTAGGATATATCTTAACCTCAGTATTTATAGTAAATGTCGTGTTTAGGATAGACTTGAAGAAACCTCGTTATATTTTTCATACATACATCCTGATATAAACCTAATGTCAATGTAACTATTCTTCTTCCTTGTGTGTTGAGGAACGACTAGTCACAAATTTATTACTCGTAGGTTTAGTTGGAATTCTACATCCCCTTTAATAATTTCACCAAAACGGCTTTGACAACATCTAGACTCGCACATCCAATCGAAGCGAGCGAAACTTGAAGGCAATCTCAAGTTTTCAGCTTTAGTTGTTTGTTATGAGAAGGAGCTGTTGTTGAAGGTCGACATTTATCATTACTTAAGGTGGTAGAGACGCTCGTCTCGCCTGGGGTAGTACCACCATCCTTCACCCCACTCGTGTTACAAACGTAACAAAAGAAGGACAGCCAGTCCCCTGATTTTAGTTTCCTTGCTTCTTCAAGTTATCCATTGGTTACAAATTGTTTCAATTCATTAGGTTGTCTCCCTCGCTGGTTCAAGCATTTTACTCCATTTATCACTTTCATTGATATCATCTTCACCGGTTTAACGAGACTAATGCACGTTTAACTCTTAGCTCACAATAACTTACGTTACTGGTCGGTTGCCAGTTTATGCGTTCCCAGTTATAGTGACTAAGAAGAATCGTGTATAAGGCCTTTCATCAATTATGTACCGTATATAATTGATTGGCACTCGTTAAACTTCACATTCTGTCGCAATATTCCTTTAATTATAGACATTGACTATAAGCACTTTAGGCACTTTCAGTGTGCCGGCTTGTTTCATCGTTGATCCAAAACGACAGCGACGCAAACTTGCACCAAGCGCACTGTTAGTAGATAGGTAATCTTAAGATTTTTGAATCTTTATTCATTAATCTCATGCTAATCTAGTTAGTAGGCTATATCTTAACCGCAGTATTTATAGTAAATGTCGTGTTTAGAATAGACTTGAAAAAACCTCTATATATTTTTCTCTAATTTTGTTGTTCTCGCTTCCTAGTAACATCCACTGGTTACAAATTGTTTCAATTCATTAGGTTGTCTCCCTCGCTGGTTCAAGCATTTTACTCCATTTATCACTTTCATTGATATCATCTTCACCGGTTTAACGAGACTAATGCACGTTTAACTCTTAGCTCACAATAACTTACGTTACTGGTCGGTTGCCAGTTTATGCGTTCCCAGTTATAGTGACTAAGAAGAATCGTGTATAAGGCCTTTCATCAATTATGTACCGTATATAATTGATTGGCACTCGTTAAACTTCACATTCTGTCGCAATATTCCTTTAATTATAGACATTGACTATAAGCACTTTAGGCACTTTCAGTGTGCCGGCTTGTTTCATCGTTGATCCAAAACGACAGCGACGCAAACTTGCACCAAGCGCACTGTTAGTAGATAGGTAATCTTAAGATTTTTGAATCTTTATTCATTAATCTCATGCTAATCTAGTTAGTAGGATATATCTTAACCTCAGTATTTATAGTAAATGTCGTGTTTAGGATAGACTTGAAGAAACCTCGTTATATTTTTCATACATACATCCTGATATAAACCTAATGTCAATGTAACTATTCTTCTTCCTTGTGTGTTGAGGAACGACTAGTCACAAATTTATTACTCGTAGGTTTAGTTGGAATTCTACATCCCCTTTAATAATTTCACCAAAACGGCTTTGACAACATCTAGACTCGCACATCCAATCGAAGCGAGCGAAACTTGAAGGCAATCTCAAGTTTTCAGCTTTAGTTGTTTGTTATGAGAAGGAGCTGTTGTTGAAGGTCGACATTTATCATTACTTAAGGTGGTAGAGACGCTCGTCTCGCCTGGGGTAGTACCACCATCCTTCACCCCACTCGTGTTACAAACGTAACAAAAGAAGGACAGCCAGTCCCCTGATTTTAGTTTCCTTGCTTCTTCAAGTTATCCATTGGTTACAAATTGTTTCAATTCATTAGGTTGTCTCCCTCGCTGGTTCAAGCATTTTACTCCATTTATCACTTTCATTGATATCATCTTCACCGGTTTAACGAGACTAATGCACGTTTAACTCTTAGCTCACAATAACTTACGTTACTGGTCGGTTGCCAGTTTATGCGTTCCCAGTTATAGTGACTAAGAAGAATCGTGTATAAGGCCTTTCATCAATTATGTACCGTATATAATTGATTGGCACTCGTTAAACTTCACATTCTGTCGCAATATTCCTTTAATTATAGACATTGACTATAAGCACTTTAGGCACTTTCAGTGTGCCGGCTTGTTTCATCGTTGATCCAAAACGACAGCGACGCAAACTTGCACCAAGCGCACTGTTAGTAGATAGGTAATCTTAAGATTTTTGAATCTTTATTCATTAATCTCATGCTAATCTAGTTAGTAGGCTATATCTTAACCGCAGTATTTATAGTAAATGTCGTGTTTAGAATAGACTTGAAAAAAAACCTCTATATATTTTTCTCTAATTTTGTTGTTCTCGCTTCCTAGTAACATCCACTGGTTACAAATTGTTTCAATTCATTAGGTTGTCTCCCTCGCTGGTTCAAGCATTTTACTCCATTTATCACTTTCATTGATATCATCTTCACCGGTTTAACGAGACTAATGCACGTTTAACTCTTAGCTCACAATAACTTACGTTACTGGTCGGTTGCCAGTTTATGCGTTCCCAGTTATAGTGACTAAGAAGAATCGTGTATAAGGCCTTTCATCAATTATGTACCGTATATAATTGATTGGCACTCGTTAAACTTCACATTCTGTCGCAATATTCCTTTAATTATAGACATTGACTATAAGCACTTTAGGCACTTTCAGTGTGCCGGCTTGTTTCATCGTTGATCCAAAACGACAGCGACGCAAACTTGCACCAAGCGCACTGTTAGTAGATAGGTAATCTTAAGATTTTTGAATCTTTATTCATTAATCTCATGCTAATCTAGTTAGTAGGATATATCTTAACCTCAGTATTTATAGTAAATGTCGTGTTTAGGATAGACTTGAAGAAACCTCGTTATATTTTTCATACATACATCCTGATATAAACCTAATGTCAATGTAACTATTCTTCTTCCTTGTGTGTTGAGGAACGACTAGTCACAAATTTATTACTCGTAGGTTTAGTTGGAATTCTACATCCCCTTTAATAATTTCACCAAAACGGCTTTGACAACATCTAGACTCGCACATCCAATCGAAGCGAGCGAAACTTGAAGGCAATCTCAAGTTTTCAGCTTTAGTTGTTTGTTATGAGAAGGAGCTGTTGTTGAAGGTCGACATTTATCATTACTTAAGGTGGTAGAGACGCTCGTCTCGCCTGGGGTAGTACCACCATCCTTCACCCCACTCGTGTTACAAACGTAACAAAAGAAGGACAGCCAGTCCCCTCATTTTGTTAATTTTAAAACTGTCTTTCATTTTATTGTATTTCATAGATAGGTGAGTATAGTATAGGCAGTTCAATATATGATCTCTTATATGTATATATTACCTTAATTTTTCCTTTGTTATGTTCTGGTGTTGTAATCGCTTCTATATCGAATTTGTTTTAATATTTATGTTATAATACTACAACATATACACGCATTTTAAAATTTAATAGTTATAAGTGTAAATATTATATTGGATTGGAGAACATATGCCTTAATTGAAGAGATTTTATGAAATAATCTGTTAATTGTAACGAGAGATGATATTATAAATGTAATTTTAGGACTTCTTTAAAATACTGGTAGCATTTAATTGCGTACTTTCATGATAACATTGGTGGCAACATGTTATAAAATTGATTTTAAAGTCGTTTGTTGCTGAGAACAATATGGAGCAAAAACATGTCCATGGGTCAAAATTTTCTATTATCATCTTGTAAAGATGTCGACCGTCGTCGAATGTGCAATCTGAACGTCTTTGAATACCTATCTTGATAATTTTGACAACACTAGCCACTGATCCAGTATTCTTTTAATAGACTAATTAATATTAAGAAAGGGCTGTCGAAAAACTTTAAAATTAGTGTAATATCGGAGTAGTCCCATAAGCTGAAATAAGCTTGGCAAATCCGAAATGTATATAAGTAGATCTATACGTCAGTCTGTATTAATACTTTATAATACAGGCTGGTAATATTTTTAGGGTACTCATCCAAATGAATTTCTTGTGCTATATTCATCTTACATCAATCAAAGTTTACAACTGATGTTTATAATTTAGTATAGATTTAACTTTCACATAAAATTCATCATTTTAAATGTACCTTTTTACAAATATAACTTTGTCGTAATAAATGTTGTGATGAATAAAATTCTTTTATTTATCCGTTTCCCGCATTATTTTTAAATTTGATTTGATATTATATTTAGTGAATAATTTATAAAACTCACTCAAATGGCGTTCCACAAATGAGGTACCACGTGTCTCCATTCTTTGGTTTCTGTGCGCAGTGGAAATCAAAATATTTCTCGTCGTAATCATCAGGGCAGAAATATTTCCTCTTAAACAGGCGCTGAAATCATAAATGTTTTTTTTTAATCGTTTAATATGTGTAAGAAAACCACAAAACATTTAATATATATTTTTTATTTTCTTAACAAATAATAAAAACTATATTTATTAAATAACAATTTGTTTTTGGATTGTCTATCTCGAGATTGGATTTCGAGAAAACATCTCATTCGGTCAAAAATATCACTTGAATTAGAAGCATTATTTGATAAAAACATATTACTGCACAATTGTACGCAGGGTCCTATAAAATTTTTCATTTCAATCACCCAGCCAAGCAATGCTTATTATGCTGGCGAATTTTATGCTTCTTTAATTACTATTCTTACTACTAACTACTACTACGAAAAACTACTTCAGATCCGACCAAAAAGACATACATAGTCTGTTCAAAGGGTATCGTGAATTTCTGCGGACTAGGTATAAATGCTATGATGATGATGATGAGGTATAAATGCTATACATATGTATGAGTTTTTTTTATATCCTGTATATATGTATAATCTACCTTAAACCGACAATCAGCTCGTCTTCGTTTCCACCTATTTCAATAGAGGTATCAATTACTAAGTAGAAAACAACTTTTTTTTTCTGATGCATACTGAAAAGATATTTAACCGTAGCGTAATTTATCGCTGGCACGATGTGATTAGGATTTAGGTCAAGAAGTTAAACAAAGAAGAACGTTCCAGATACCCAATATTTTTTTACCCAATAATATCAAACTTAACAAATCAAGAGAAGAGTGTTTGCCAATCACGGTTAGAGATGTTAATGAGGACTTAAAAATGTCTATTAGTTTCTGCCATTAAATTTTTACATAAGCTCTGGGTATGAGACAGGATGCTACAGAATTACTAACTTCCCTGATTTCAAAGAATTATAGAAAGTCTAATTGAAAGATTTCAAACAAGAAAGATTTCAAAGATTTATATAAATTCTAATAGTCTAAAGACTTATGGAAGTCTAGCTGAACAAGATAGCATTTTTTTTGTTGGATAATACATTGAATATATGAAAAACACGATATATAGGTTAGGTAAAAAGAAATATTTATAAAAAAAGATTTTTTTTGATCAAACACAAAACTCGCGATAGCTCTTTAACAGACCTTGTATATGTACACACATTTACAAAACTGGAAAACAGACAACAGTATTGAGTAGTCGTAGATATAGTATTATTTTATAAGTATACCTGTCCAAAAGGCGTGACCAAAGAAGTTTGTTCAGTGCAGGGTCCGACAGGTTCGTGTAGCCCCAGAGATCTTTCATCCTCAGGGTTGAAGAATATCACGATGGTTAAATACATCGCATAATGAATGAACAGCTGCAATAATAGCAGGTAATCGATGCTGCTGAGCCTGAAAATTAATGTTACTTAACTCAAAAATAGGAAAAGAAACAAAAACATTACCTATGCAACGATTTAACTGAGCTAACAAAGTTCTTGTTCTGAAATAATATGAGTTCAAATTATTTCGTCTTAATTAATTTTATATAAAAATACATAATTTATCAATGTTAAAAGTATAAAAACTACGGTAAATTATATAATTAACTAAAGGCAGTAAGTAGTTTAAACGTTTTGTTTTTTATTATTTTTATAACCTCTACTTGAAAATGTGTCAGGAAAAAGTCTTATTTCTTTAATGACAATCCTGAAAGTCAATGTATAAGTCGTTGTATATAAGCTTTTTTTATTGTACACGATAATACAAAATTAATTATGTATATAATTTAAAAATGTATTAATTACTTTTTCCTATAATGAATATGAATATTATATTTTAAGAGATCCCATTAAAGTCACTAAACTTTTGAGTTACATTAAGTTTTTTACTTTTAAAAATTTCTAAATATCTTGTAGAATCTTCAGGAATACAAAATAAACAAATACTTACTTTTCCTTGATTTTCTCACGCTCGCTTAATAGCCCTGACAGAATAATTACAAAGAAAATCGAAAATAGAAGGAAGAAAGTAACTTCTGAGTGAATTTTATAAGTATCATGTAAGGGATGGTATATCGGCACAAACATTAAGATGCCTCCAGGCATGCCGATCAGAATGGCTATCAGGAGAGATTTCCATTCAACAGCTTTTCTGTAAAAATATTTCCAATTACTTACTTCAAAATACAAACATATCGAATAGGTACACAATAAATAAATGTTCAAACTCACGAAGCCGATGACCATCTTGCAACTTTCGGTGCGCACCAATCTCTGATGAAGTGGAAGAAGAAATAGAAGCTAGCAGCGAAGGTGGCGTGGAAATAGTACGAGTTCCAGGGTACCCAGTAGTGACGGTCGAAAATGTTTGGGTCGGTGTCATGCCAGGTCCAATGAACATATTTCACCGATACTATATCATAGGGCAGATCGATAAGAACAGTGAGAAGTCCCACAGCAAATGGCTGAGCGTACTTTGGAAGATTGATCTTACTGACGGCGTACGCGGCATTGTAGATGAAGACCGGATCTGAAAACACAATTGTCCTATATACCTAGATTACATATTAAGGTAAATTCATATTGTTATTTATTCCAACTTACAAAGTAAAATTATATGCAAAGGTTGTCGACCACCCAAGAACATAAGGGGCGTTTGTGAATGCCAGAAATTATCGAATTCGGGGAGGATGAAATGCCAGAAATTATCAGCGTAAATGCCATGGAGAACCGTGCCCAGCCAGAAGTACGGCCAGCGACCTCCTTTCATAAAAGCTGAAAAATTAAATCCATAATTTGTACAATTTGTTAAAGGCTAATAAGGGAGCGTTCAAGTATTACGTAACGCAATTTTCGAAGATTTTTGACCCCCCCTTCCCCCGTCGTAACGCACAGTAACGTTTTTCTGTAGCCCCCCCCCCCTTCTCAAAACGTTACGTAACACTCAAGTGATCAATTTCATCAAAAGACTTACAATGCAATCTAGGTATTCCCCGTAAAATATCAATTAAGAGGTTTGCAAACTTGGAATAACAAATAAAAATATCGACCAGACTAATACAATCTGGTCAACAATGTAACGTATATGAAAAGAGTTGCCAGTTTGGGGGTTTTTATTAATATATTTTTTTAGAAACAATGCTACGTAACGTTTTGTAAGAGACACCCCCTCCCGCCCCAGTAACGCATCGTAACGTTTTACGAGACCCCCCCCCCCCCCCTCCCCCAAAATGCGTTACGTAATACTTGAACGCTCCCTAATTTTACGTTAAAGGCAAAATTTGTTAAAGGCAATTTGTTAAAGGCAAAGGCAAAAAAGCGTTATTCTTGTAAAAATAAATAATTAAATACTATCCTATAATTAATATGCAAAAAATAATGGGTTTGAGCTCTTAAGTTCAGTTATTAGGTGCTAACGCAATTTTAACTTCTGTTTACACAGATGCATATTGATAAAAGTGTTTTAAAATTAATTATTGGTAATTTATGATTAAAGAAACTCGAAAGAAATGCTAGTCCAAAAACTTTTTCCTTTTACTTACCATGTAACAGAGTTAGTATTCCGGCAAATAAGAAAAAACTCTGTACAATGATGTACGTGGGTTGGGCAGACCATAACGGCTTCACATCTTGTACTTGTATCAAAAATTCACTCCACTGTATAAAACAAATAAAATATCTTTAATTTACATTTACATTGCAGTGCTTAACTTTGTTTCAATAAGTTTTATTTTAATTAATGTACAGAAAATTCGTTAATACTTTTATCATCTGTGATTCGTTCAATCTGCTACATATAATTATTATATTCCTTGTCTTATTTCTTTATGGATATATAAAGCATGTTTATATTATTATATGTTTTATAAAACATAAATAAACAATAATAAGATATAAATGTTTAAAGACGACTTATTTTTTTCGTGGGTTATCATAACTTACACATAATTTTGATCGCTATTCTTCAACAAAGTTAATTTCCTAATAGAAATATAACTACAGCATAAGCTAATTCACAAAAATAAAACAATTAGATTTAAAAATTCAATAACGCATTAAAAGTCGATTTAGTCGATTTAAAAATTGATAAATTAAAATGTATACTATACATATAATACTGATTACCGAAACATTGATAAAGCCTGATTTAGATGCAGCATTACTTGAGATTCCAAATTATACGCACATATTATATAATTATGGAGTTCAAATGAATAATAATTATCAGACTTAATCATTAATAGCAAGAGTTTTCCTATATTCAAAAAATGTGTAATGAAATATGTGCAAAATAATTTATAAATTAATGTAATCCCTACCTAAACATGTTTGTGTAATATAACTAGCCGCAACATTTTATTTCTCTGTATATAATTCATAAGTCAGACTTTTAAATGTACCCTCATGCAAAATTATTGTAATTTCTTATTATAAGTGAACTTTTGTGTTCTTAATAAATTCTTAATAAAATTAAGAATGCACAAAACAAGATAAAAATGACTTGGAAAATTATTGGTTGTGAAACTGGTAGAGTTGGCAGTTGCAACTCCGATTTGAGCCTGAATTATAATGGTAAAGTAGTAAATAGTCAAAAGGAAGTTGCTACAGTTTTTAATAAATTCTTTGCTGACGTACCAGTTTTGACAACTAAGTTACTTATTTCTTCTCCAGATGTTGCCGAGTCACTTCTTCTTCTACCTGGCAATTTCCCAGCTATAGCCAGGGTCTGCCTTACATGTTGTGAATAGTTTTTTTTTTTTTGGCTATTTGTTTTTACGACCAGCCGCCTGCCTGACATCAACCCTCTTTTGGGAATCAACACTAATCAGTGATGAAAGAAAATGTAAGAGCTTGTAAATCTAACTTTAATTTTACCCTTGTAAACCCCAATGACATAATACGAGCCTTCAAGTCACTAGACATCAAGAAAACAGCTGATTTATGGGGTATTTGTCTAAAGGTTATAAGTTCGATTATTGATGTGATTGCACCTTTTCTTGCTGTAATATTTAATAGTTGTGTCCAACGTGGTATATTTCCTGACCTGATGAAACATAGTAAAGTTATTCCAATATTTAAATCGGGTAGTTCCTCAGACCCCAATAACTATAGGCCAATTTCAATTCTACCTACCCTGAGCAAAATATTTGAGAAAATAATTCTAAATCAATTATTAGAACATTTTAACAAACATAATCTGCTTTATAGTAAACAATTTGGATTCACGAGGGGTCGCTCGACAACAGACGCTGGTATCGAGCTTATTAAGAATATCTATGATGCTTGGGAGGAGTCACGGGATGCCTTAGGGGTTTTCTGTGACTTATCCAAAGCCTTTGATTGTGTTCAACATGAGACTCTGGTCAGGAAACTATATCACTATGGAATTAGAGAATGTGCGCTCGACCTTCTGACTTCTTATCTCAACAATAGAATTCAGAGGGTTGACGTTAAAGGAAAAAGGTCTCCTGGGGTCTCAGTTGGTATGGGGGTCCCTCAGGGATCAATTCTTGGACCTTTTCTGTTTCTCACATATATAAATGACTTGCCCTTTCTTGTTGGGAAGAAACATGATATAGTATTGTTTGCTGATGATACCTCATTAGTTTTTAAAATTAATAGAAAACAGGTACAGTACGACGACGTAAACAATGCTAGAGCTGATATAGTACATTGGTTTAGTGTAAACAATCTTAGGCTAAATAATAATAAAACAAAAATTGTAAAATTTAGTACACCTAATGTACATAATGTAAAAGCCGATGTACTCATTAACGGGGAATCGATGGATCCAATTGATTCTGCTGAGTTTCTTGGCCTTACTGTTGATGCTAAGTTGCAATGGGGCCCCCATATTAGCGGATTGGCGAGTAGACTGAGTTCTGCGGCATTCGCGGTCAAAAAAATTAGATTATGTACCGATGTTGATACGGCTCGCTTAGTATATTTCAGTTACTTTCACAGTATAATGTCATACGGTATTATGCTGTGGGGCAACGCAGCCGCTATCCATACTATATTTGTGCTACAGAAGAGGGCTATTCGCGCAATCTATAACCTAGGAGCTAAAGAATCGTTAAGGAATAAATTTAAAGAAATCAAGATATTGACTGTTGCTTCTCAATATATATTCTGCAATGTTATGTATGTACGAAAAAATATTAATGATTTCATGAGAAAATGTGATACTCATAGCATTGGTACAAGGAACAAACATAAACTTGTTACTCCTGTTACTCGACTACATAGAGTCAGTAACTCCTTTGTGGGGCATTGTATACGGTTTTACAACAGGATCCCAGAAAGCGTTCAAAATGCCTCTATTGCTAAATTTAAAAAAATTATTAAGGAACGCTTGTGTGCAAAAGGTTACTATACAATTAAGGAGTTTATGAACGATAGCACACCTTGGGAATGAAACGCTCGCCTCCTGGCTATTTCATCTCATATTAAATTGTGTATATAATATATGAGAGAAATATATATATATATATATATATATATATATTAAAAAAAAACCCGCTGAGTTTCTTTCGCCGGTTCTTCTCAGGTCAGGGTATTTTCTTTTCCGAACCGGTGGTAGTCTCAAATGACCATCAATAAGAAAGTGTAATGCTTCTATATTGAATAAAGTTGTTTGAGTTTGAGTTTGAGTTTATAAGAAATAAATGTCTTTAAACCGTACCGAATATAGCTTAAACTCAGTGCCAACTTGCAACACGAACTAGCAGTTTGTATCTAAAGGCACTTCACTTGGCTTTTATTTGTTATGTTCGACCAGTTAAGACCATGTGTGGAGGATTTATTCGTCTTCATTTGACGTATTTGCACAAATAAGACACATACACAAATAAGCAAAACGCCTAAAGACGTGTTGTTGGCATGCCAAGTGTGGGTGTCGTGTTTGCCCTATTTGACCTACGTATAAATATTTGGACAAATGCGTCGAATAGGCAACCCCAAGCGTAGTGCCACCTTAAGATTTAATACCCAACAAAAAATATACAGGTAAGCCTAAATTAAATGAGCTTCATAGTGATAATTAAGAGTGAAGTAAAATCTGACACTGATTTAACTATTCAAAAAGTATAGCACGATCAGTATAAGTTGCACGGTTACACTGTAATCGCTTATTCGGCCGAAAAGTAATATTATAGTAAAATATTATAAGAATAAATTCTACGTATATAATATACGATACCTCAACCGATCTTTAAACAGCTGCAAACGAATGGTTAAACGGGCACGTATTTAGACATACATATACCTGTTTAAACATCGTAGATCTTGTAATCGATATCGAAAAATAAAACCAATCTTAATTCATATGCAGTTTTTATTTAAAGTAAAATAGTTAATTTCGGTTCTTTCATTATTAGTCCAGTCTTGTTGCGAATGTACATATAAGTTTCTATTAACGTTAGTGATAAGTTAATATTAAATATTAGAGGCAATAATTTTAATTCTTTTTATAATCTCCAAATCATTTAACTCGCCAAATCTAATTATATAACTCCTTATCTAATGATTAAACCTAACTATAGATATTTAATCTGATACATTTGATTTAAAAATGTATTGAATAAAATTGATTTAAAATTCGTAATATTTATAAAATTTTAATCCTCTTGATAATTTACTGCAATACCCAGTTTATAAATACCCACAAAATAATTTTCTTACGAATTTCGTTACAACCTATATATATATATATATATATATATATATATATATATATATATCGAAGTTTTTGAAAGCAAATCAAAATTTAAAAGTGAAGTAAAGTTGACATACCTAAACTTTATACACCCACACAAACAGACACGTGATCGTTACATATAATGAAAAAAATTAGAAATAAATCAATGTAACTTCATTAATTGATTGATATAGTGGATTAGAAACAATTAATTGATATATATTTAACATACTTTTCGTATTAAAATCGCTCAATATGGCACATTACATCGCATCGCTTTTTAGAATTTGAAAAAATAAATTACCCACATATTATACCTAAATTTATAAATTACATATACCTACATTTTAAATGTTAAAAATGATTATATTAAATCAACATATGTTTAAAATGAACCCATTATAAATGTTTTAAGCCAAAAAGTTTTAATATATTTAATGTAAACGAAACTATATTTATATAAAATTGTATTTTAAAAGTAATTCGTTGGTTTAATTTATTTTAATTATTGGCATGATAAAAAATAAAGATATTGGAATTAATTTTAAAACTCACCGTTTGAGCCACTCCCGCACTCATGCCGCCGTTTTTAGATAAACTCCGAACGCCGGTAAAAACTCAACTGAAATGAATGATTAAATATGATTAACATTTGCTTAGTTGTCAGCACACTAGGTGATATCATAAAGTTTATGTCTTATACTTACATTATTTCTATTGGCAATCCTGTTTTTCTTATTGTTATAACTTTATTATAATATCTTAATTTATAATGTGTAAAAAAATATTTAATTATTTGAAATAAGAATATTTTTATCTTTAACGAAAAAATAAAACTGGTAATATTTGTATTTGATTTGTGTTTGTAAGTATGTTTTAATAGCCGTTTTTTTGTATATTTGTAAGTTTAAAATTCATCTTAAATTGCAAAATAAGTATATCCATATTAAATCATAAATGTATATAGAGTTCTCGATTTTATAAAATTATATCAATCTTCTTCAACTAAACAATTAAATAAAAAATATGGCAAAACCATAAGTTAAACCTTTCACGAAAGGTTTAAAAATTCACGCAATCGAAACGTGTATTTTATCTGAGTGAAATATTAATTTTATAGTCTACAGTTACATTACGCACTGATTACGTGTAACTAAACTATGCCACGAAACGTCTTGTTGTATTGAAAACTAGACATTGCAATACTTTTGAGACTATATTTTTAATACTCATTATTATCAATGTTTATCAGACTTTGTAAATAAAATTATTTACGTAGAGTAATAGAGATAAACCCGACTCTACTAAAACATTCAATAACAAAATTTAATCATTGTTTTGTATAAAATATATTTTCTTGCCAAAAAAGGGCATTTTTATTTTCTTAACGAGGAAATATTACATAAAACCTCAACATCGTCTCAGCATTACGTACGAGAGCAATTAATTTTTGCAATAAGTTTTTACCTGTCTTCAATTGAATAATATTACATAATTGCGCCTTTTTATATGATTCCTTACAGTATGTTTAATATTAAGATTAGATATATAGAAAGTAGGATAACAATATATTTGAAACAAATAAATATAGTAAATCTATTTGTTCCTTTACTGTCCTCCAGTACCAAAAAAAATCGGTATCATTTATGTCTTCAAAATCGGTAACAGTTAAATATCAAAATTGTGTTTTTTTGGGCCGACATATCTTATATTCTTTAAATTTATTACTTAAGTTCTTATTGAATGTAGTACCTATATAGTAAGTATCACTGTGATCATCAAATATCTGTGTCCTTTCCTGTGTCAAAGTGACAGTGATAATTATATTCTTAGGGCTTAGGTTGAGAGATTACCACTTTCACAACATTCAAAATTTCACAATTTGATTTTAATTATTATTACCATATATAATGTCTATATTCCGTGGAATAACAAAATTATTAAATAATTCAATTATATTCAAACAAAAGTATTCAAGAAATGTTATTGTTAATTTTACCAGACCAAAACAAACATTCGCACCTTCTCTCAAGTTGCAAAAACCACAAAGAAAAGAACCAGGTGAAATTTATAAATGGATTTTACTAGTAAGTGTCATAAGTTAATTTATTACAGTAATAAAAGATCAAATTTACCAAAGATCTACAATCTGTATTGCTTTCAAAATGGCTTAGAAATTAAGTTTAATTAACTGTTTGAAGTTTTGCAAGGACTCAATGTGTGATTTTATATTTCTAACAAAAAAAGTATAATTCATTTTTGTACTGATTGAATATACCAGGTGTAACAAGTGATTGTTGTCTTATTTCAAAATTATTCTACAATGTATTCTAGCAAAATGTTCAAGCCAAAACTTTATACCAGGACGGAAAAATGATTTATCTAGATATAATTTAACAGTTAAAATAAATTGTGTTTCATCAATAACACAAGCACACTGTTGTTTTGCAGATTATTCTTATCAATGTAAATTTAAATACTACTTACAAATTAATTTTACATTAGTCACGTACACTTTTCAAAAACTCAACTCGTTAGTTGGGTCTGGCTGCAAGCTAATATTTGAATCCAAAATGTCACACAACCATGAGTTTAACTGTTAAATTCTAATGTATTCTCATTAATATTAATCAATATAAAACTTAGATTTGATAATTTAATTTATATCAACTAAATGTTGTTACAGATGATTCCAGTCACATCATTTGGTTTGGGATGTTGGCAAGTTTATCGTCTGCAGTGGAAACTTGAACTCCTACAAATACTGAAATCTAAATCAAGTGCAACACCTGTTCCTATGCCAGAAAAGTAATGTAAAATTTAAATGTCAATCTTGTAATGTGATTTTTATGCTTTATATAAGGTCCTTACTTCATTTTTTATAAAAATGTTACTGTATAAACTCAAACTGTAAGAAATCCCAAGGTTTTCCAGTTAAACCTAAGACATACCAATTCTTAATGGTAAATGTCCCAGAAAGTATTAGTTTAGGTTAATTAAGGTTACTCATTGTTTTATTTCTAAAACCAACATCTACTAGATGACAGCAGTAAAACCTAGTTAACACTTAAATCTTAAGATTACATTATTTCAAGCTTTTACAGTAACATATTTTATTATTTGCCCATATATTACTTGTCTTTAATAGACAATAAAAAAAATAAAGTACTTGTGAATATAAATCACTCATATTTGCACAACTTTTATTAGATAGGTGCACTGTGATATTGTCTAATAAATAAACAAATGAAGATTTTGAAATCATATGCATTAAAAATTTGATTTATAATATTTTTTTCAGTTTCAATGATTTACAAACCATGGAATTTAGACCAGTCAGAGTTCAAGGAGAATTCTTACATGACAAAGAAATTCTTATTGGCCCAAGAGCACTGATTGAAAATGATGTTGCAGTACCTAGGGCTGGATCCCTGGTATCGGATCCCAAAAAAAATCAGGGATACTTGGTTGTTACACCTTTCAAGCTTTCCCGTAATGGGTATGTACTGCTTTGTATTTATAGTACAAATTTGTATAAAATACATTAAAAATAATTTGACTTCCAATAGTTTCTTAGCTATAAATTTTAAATTATATAATACTAGCTTTCCGCCCGCAGCTTCGCCCGCGTGGAGTTCGGTTATATCGTGTTTCCAAGAGAACCTTTCAAAAGTCTGGGATAAAAACTATCCTATGTTCTTTCTCAAGATCAACTCTATATCTGTACCAAATTTCATTAAAAATAGTTCAGTGGTTTAGGCGTGAAAGCGTAACAGATAGACAGAGTTACGATTTAATTTCGCATTTCTAATATTAGTAGGGATTCAGAAAGATCACCAATTGTTTTTATTCAGCTAATAGCAGTTAAATTTCAGTCTTAAATATTATTCTCTATGAATACATAAATAACTTTTATACTCCTTTAGGGAAATCATTCTTATAAACCGAGGTTGGATCCCACAAAATTTGCGACCCAAGGAAAAACGGCGGGCTTCTATGGTAGAGGGAGAAATTACACTTAATGGCATAGTACGTCTTACAGAAAGTAGAAGTCCTTTCATGCCTAAGAATAACCCAGAGAAGGGATCTTGGCTGTACAGGTTAGAATTTTCTAAATATGTATATTATTGGTGAACAGAGGAAATGAGTAATTTCATACACAATTACGACAGCTCAGCTAAGTTTTGTATAGACCAAAATAAAAACAAAATTGAAGCCAAATGGAAAGGCTAAGTTGTAAAAATTGTTTTAAATACATACACCACAAATCAGACAGGCACAAATTTGGCTATTTTCTTTCATGATGCCGTGAGATGTTGTTAAATGAATATGTTCATTTTTATTCAAGTTTAGGTTATTTTTATCTTATTCAATGATTATTTTGACAGAGATTTGCACCAAATGAGCGCCTACTTGGATTGTTCCCCGGTTTGGTTAGACGCTCAAGGTATCAGCGACCCACCAGAAGGCTGGCCTCTACCAAACCAAACAAGATTTACTATGAGAAATGAACATCTTTCCTACCTCATCACCTGGTATATGCTGTCTGCTTTCACTGCAGTTATGTGGCACAGATATTTTATAAGGAAATTGCCTCTTTTGTAATCATTTTGTAGTTGTTGTAAATAATATAGATTATTTAATTACTAGGCATCAATAAAGTTTAATTATTCAATAAAATATTTAATTATTTGTATAGTAGTTTTATTATTAACCGGGTATACTTTATACAGTCGCAATTAAAATGTTGTTTTTTTTTTACTTTGACCACACACACTAATGTATCAAACCCTTATGTAAAATCGGTGGCCGGATCTGATATTGCATAGAAAAGGATATTTATCTGCCGTTGTTACGGTCCATTCAGAAACTAAGACAATTCAACTTAGAAAATTCAACAAGACTTGGTCTTTGAATTAGGATTTATATTTGTTTAACCTTTATTCGCTAAAAAAATACTATCGCAACATATATATATCAATATGAATTTCCTGTAATACCTTTGATTACACTAAACCCACCCAAGGTTGGTTTAATATGGATTTGAGCCTGCCTGCGCAGGTCTTAGTCGATAATGAATGAAACATCTTGAAGTATTTGAGTCTTTAATAATACTCAGTGAGGAGTATGGAATTCATATTTTAAAAGATAAATCACAATGAGCCAAAACAATTCGAAAATACTTAAAACACATCAGAAATATTTGTTTTCAAACATACCAACGTATTACAACGATATTTTAAAATTTCATCTTAGCCTAAATTTTAATATAATCTAAAATAAATGTATAAATTTGACTGATTTCTGAACCATCTATAAAATAGATGTCCCTCCAAAAACAACATGCATATTAATTTACATTAACTTAATAATGTATATCCAATTGTATATTTTTTTTCGTTATATGATTCATAAAAAGAAATACAACGAAAAAAAATCAATATACTGAGAATATATATATTTTTAAAAACTATGATAAAATTAATATATAACACTCGTCATAAAATAACAGGTCAATTAAAATAAAAAAAATAAATCACAATGAATAAAACCTTATTATAGAACCTATCTAACGTCATTTAAAAAGTCATTCATTCACATTAAAAATAAACGTATTAAGTTCATCATATTAGTATATACAGAAGATGATTTTCAGGTCAAGAGCGCCTGGTATAAGAGTTCAAAACTATAATATAATACACCACACTCCGATAAAGGATGATTTCTTTATATACTAACACTTTATATAAATATAAAGTGTTAAATAGCTGTTATTAATTATCAAGTAAAGTCAAGTATCATCCGTCAACGGCGCGTGGAGAGCAGGAGTCCCAGAAAGGGTCGACGAAAGTCGATGAAAATTTTGAAATGTTATTTATAATCCAATTTTGTAGCTCCGCTTGAGTCGTATTACCAATCGATGTTAAAAAGTGTAAAGATCTTAAGAATCATAAATAAATTTATGCCAGCACAAGTTTAGTGCTAGCCTTACATGAACACAGGCAATATGAACTTAAAATTCAAGCGGGCAAGTCAAAATTCGACACGTGTATCTGTGGTACGTGTGTCGGATCTATCTTCGGCGTGGACTTGTAGTCACACAGACCGTGTTCTTTTAATTTCCACTCCCATCCCATGATCTGCACTGCGTGTAGAGTTTCTGCTTCCGTATGTTGACGGCGAAGCATACCTTCCTGTAAATTGAAACTATATTAATATACAAATACGATGAAATGTTTGGAATCATAAAAACAACTCAAGAATACGCAAAGTACAAAGTTTAATTGAGAATTATATCGATTTAAAGGACAGTATAGCCTATATAGGTTATTTACAATATTTCAGGGTTATAATATACCTTGATCTTCTCCCATTTATCATCGACTTCCTGGAGCCACGAGTTTATTTGACGTCCGTTACAACGGGATCGCTGCGCGTTGCGTTTCTCCTCTTGTTCCGGTGCTAGCACGTTGTAAACCTCTTTATCGCGCAATATAGTGCACACGGAAAAGGGGAGAGCCTGTCGAATAAAACGATATATATTATAAGATGAAACCTCTCAGCATTCCATGGATTCATCGTACGGGTCCATCTCATTGTAGAGAGGAGCTACAACAGTACCTGGGACTTGCGTCTCAGGTGTAAGTTTGAAATGCCCTTATCTAACGCGCGTTAAACGCTCGCCTCAACCCTAAAAGCTTCTTTCTCTATCTAACCAAATTTAAATCGAACCTAGTAGGGCTGCCTTCGAAATATTTTCTAAGAATATATTGATGTTAGTTCTGGAGAGGCACAAGTCTTTTAGGAGGTTGAGAGATATTTAGTATTATACCTCTCACTAATACTTCTACTACTAACTAATTCACAACGAACCTATTCTTAGTGGGCTCTTAATACTTGTCTGACCTTAATGGCATGGTCTTTGGGGCTGTCGGTTTCTCAAGGAACCGTAAGCTTTATTTATTATTATATATACGTATATAATACACAATACAGTAAAAATTTTATATGTACCTGATTGGCCACAGCGCGTTCGGCGCGCCCGTGTACTCTCAATATTTCCTGCTCGACGGCCAAAACAAGCTTCTCTTTTTCAACAAGGTGTTGGATGCGTAATCTCGTCCTGCAATGAATACAATCATATACACAATTCATTCACACTATTAAGATTATCACAGATTATTTAATACTTGATCATAATTATTTACCTTTCCTTCTCTTGAGCCAGAAACTCGTTAACCATTTGTGATGGTAGGTTGGGTGGTATTTCAACTTGTGGCTCTGGGTTGACGGTACTCTGTAGGGTGTAAGTGCAACGGTTCATCAGGTACTTGTTGAAGTCTTTAGGCGGCTTTGGTTTCACTGGAAACAGAGCCTTCTGACGTCTCTCGATCTAGAACAACAGGTTTATTATTAATAGAATCTTTCACAATTTACAATTATTTTTAATAAACTCATTACATTGATCATAGTTTTGTTTTTATTTTTAATATATTACCTGTTTCCTTATGTGAATATACATTTGATAGGGGTTGGAATGTGTGATGTTGTGAGTGAGTGTGGTGCTGTCTGGGACTTGTTCGTTCTTGCTGTCTCTTGAATGATTATCTTTCGATGCTTTAATTTTCCTCTTCCTAGGATGCAACTCCACAGACGGACCGGCAGCTAAAAGAAATATTTATAGTTTAAGAAACTGAGGAATCATTTACAGTGGAAAATATTATTATGGAAATTATAATTTTACATTCCGTATAGCTAGTTCTTTTTTTCATAGAATTTATTAGAAACAAAATATAAGGATGATAGAAATGGTATTAAACAGAATTATTAGACTTTAACATAAAATTTCATCGTTCCTTTTATATATTTGGCTTTCATTTTCGTTTTCAAAGTAGGAGCGGAGTTATAAACTGATTCACATACATATACACTGGTTCGAAAAACCTACACATATTATAATAAGAGTTCACAACACCAACATTTAGTGATCTTTACATCAATTATAAAAATTCTAGTATTAGACTGATAAATTAAATGTAATGTCAATTATACCTGACTCCGATCTCCCACCAGGACCCGACGAAGTAGATGTAGCGTGGTCAGCGTCCTGCCCCTGGAAAAATCACAATCATCAGAAAGAGGTATAAGCATTTAGAATAACGGCGAACACAAGAAGGGTGACAATAATACAATTTCTACTCCGATTTTTACAGTACTTACAGAGGGTGGTGGACTTTTGTTGGAATTCAAAGCCTGATTCTGCCCTGAGCCTGAGCGATTCTCCGACCCTCTTAGCGGAGAGGTCATCCCTTTATCTTTATCACCGTCATTCGTTCTGTGGGAGCGGAGAACCCTTTGCCCGGCCTACAAGACAAGTTTTTAATATTTCTTTGGACTAGCTCGTTTTAAGAGAAAGCACTTCATGTGTCAGGTCATTTGAATATAAAAAAAAAAAAATAAAGGAAAGGGTCCTTCTTTAATCAGGCTGCTGCTCCCCAAAATAATAATTTCAAAGATGATATAACAAAAAAATATAACAAAGCTCTCGGACGCAAAGAAACTACTTGATTGGCGAAGAATGGTAATCGTATGATGAATTGAGAATAATAAATCGGCTTAGTTCGAAACGAGAAGGTAGCTGAGTTGCATAATTTTCAGCAACACAATCACGGTACATAGCCAACAGCGACATCGGAATGGCTCGAACGAAAGGATGACAGGCAAAAGAAAATAATAATATCGAAACCAATATAGTAAACAAAATAAAAAAGCCTTTACAGCCCTACTAAAGCTCCTCTCACCTTTGCTTCACCAGTTCTCTTGTCTTCACAGTTGTCAGAGCTATCCGATGTCTGCCCAGTGTCTGCACTCGTGCATGGGATGACATATGGCAGCGTTGACAGGCTGCTACGACCTTTGCCACCACCACGCTGACCTGCACTACCTAAACAACCACAATCATATATAAATATTCATATAACTACACTATCACTATGTATTGGAAAGAATTATAAACTTTGAAAATCACCAGAAGAAATAACAAATGATAGTAGTAACATAATATCATATAGATAAAGAAGAAAAATCTGTATCTTTTACATGGATGGTACGAAAAGAAACAAGTAATTTCATATATCCACATACCACTTGCCCTTCTTTGGGGTGCTACAAATAAGAAATAGCAAATTAGGTATTACAAAACTATGCCATGGATATCACATTTCAGATTTATTGATTAACAGAATCTTAATTGTTGTTATATATACATATATAATTGTTTGTATGTCTGTCTTACCATCGCCTTCCTGTTCATTACGACTTCCTGAACCACCGGCACCTCCTGGTATAACTATCTTCAAAGGTGGCACTTTCGGTGCCGATGATTCCTGGCTCTTCGAGTCCTCATCATCATCCTTACCCTGATTTGGTTTAGGGCTTGCGACAGGACTCTTCCGATCTTGTTTGCCAGCTTGTGAACCTGATGCTCCCTTTGCACCCCCCGATTTACCCTAGTACGAACAAATAATACTTCATAATAATATGAATAGTGTTTTAAAATAATAGGTATGTTTTCTGTTCATGACTATATACACTACAACCGATATACGAGAATCCCACGGCAACTAGTACTAGCAAAAAACTTGAAGACTGTCACATTATTCTGTCTCCGATACATTCTTATAATTGCATCAAAATTTGCTAAGTAATTTTAGCATTTCCGTTTGTATTGTTTAACTTATTATACTTTGCATTTAAAATATTAGTAGAATAATATAAATAAATAATGTACCTGATGAGATCCCTGCGCGTTAGCTTTGGCATTAGCGCCACCCCCCTTCCCCTGCGCCTGCGCACCTTTTCCAGAAGAAGAACCCGCGCCCTTCGTGTTCTGCGCTCCTTTGCCCAGCGGCTGTGCCCCCGTCTTACTTGCCGGCCCCGGAGGTTTGCTACCAGTTAGGATTCTGTTAACGTATTTTCAAACCGCCTTATACTAACTACAGATAAATCATTTATTACCCCTTCAAGAAATAAATAAATAGAAACATAAAGTAAATAAAATATAAGGCATCTACATATATAAATACATGTAATATATAGAGGCTATTTTTTTATTTACCGGCCGGCACCACCTCGTGCCACGGGCGCTGGTTTGGCCATGGGTTCTTTTTCCTCATTGTCTTTCCTCTTCTTTCGTTTTGATACATCTTCCTCTGTCACATCTGCCTCTTGAACGTCTTCTGTATACAGCCTCTTGTTGCCGGGATTAACTTCATCCTGAGTAGAGGATACAACACCACTACTCAGTTGTGATGTTCCATCTGTAATAACATTATTATGAATAACATACAACAAATAAACCAAATATGTAGTTTTAAATATTATAATGTAGTAAACAGAAACAATTGTTAGTTATAATATATTTAATTACATTGTTATTTATGACAATCATAAACCCATGCTTCTTTATGATCACAAATCTTCATACAAAATATTTTTTTACCATCTCTACTTTCAACATTGCCTTTCTCTTGAGAGGAGGTTTCCTTGCCCTCCAAATGTTCGCCCTGCGCTAGGCCCTCCATGTTGCTTCGCTTGTGTGATTCGCTGTTTGCACTTGCATTGCCTTTCTTGTTGCTGTCATCCCTCGCACGACTTGTATTTGCAGTTCTCGCGTTATCTGTACCAAATGTTTTGTTATTGCAAATATTACAATAATAAACAGACCTAACTTAAATTACACATAATTCAGTATGTCATGTATTAATGTTGGATATATCATATAATTAACATGACAACTATGGTAATGACATATAAATTTAACCTATACATATTATTATTTATATAAACAAACAAATCAATATGAAAGAATAAATTGTTACTGCTATAACCGTTTTACAACAAAACTCTTTTGTTTTCATTAGCAAATACCTTAATCGACGATTAAATTATTCAACACACATAATACATAATATATTAGGTACAGTGCACATAATTAACACACATTGTAAGGTTAACAATGTTTTATAAAACCTTATAGAAGCACAAATACTGTTCTTCAATTTTATTCGTATGACAAAAAAGGAATAATTTGTGGAAATAAAATCAATACTTCCGAGCGATGGAGAAAATATAAATACAAAACGCAATTACCGAACGGCTATCTTAATGTCGCACCGTGTACATTTTACAATTAATCGGCATACCGAGTCTATCTAAACTATTTATGCTGTCACGTCAGTCGGGTCATTAACTATTAGTAGTTTTTGAGAGTCACAGCATCTAATCGTGATTTAAGTGCGGCGTGCAATGTTTTAACACAAACTTGGAAAAAAACGATAAAATCAACTCCCCTTTATTATGCGAGACAGCTCTCCTTTGCATCTCACGACGCCCCACACTATTTTTAGTTCTCAGCGCGCCGTTTAATATAAATTTCTCCTCAAATTAATTATTCATTTCCAAAAATCACTTCGACTTTGACGTTACGAAGCGGCCATAACGACAGTTTTAGCAACACGCCCCTGAAGCTTCAACGTTTCGTTTCACGATTAATGTACTTTAGCAAATTTTTCTTAAGTGACTAAGAATTTTACCTTACAATAACACTTTAATAAAGATTATTTGGCATCTATACTCAGAAAAAATATCGTCCTTACAACAAGCAAATGTACTTTGCATCAAGATTTGACAATCTGTCAAACGAAGAACTAAACGCCAAACCAAAACTTAAGCGTAGTTATGGTTTCCAAATTGAGAACTAAAATTAAAAATAAAATCAAATTAATATATAACAGCTATTGATTAATATTTCTTACATTAGTAGTCACCTTTTTAAGTAATGGAAACCTGGAGTAAATGTTGTGTATTACATTTTGTTTGTAATTGTCTTTGGTGTGGCCGCCATTTTGTCAATCCGTCACTCATGCGATGAAGTATTTTTTGTTTAGGAAAGTCACAAGATTTTTTTTATTTGCTTCCTCCTAAATGGAATTTATTCATATATATGCCATTACTTTTCGGAACTGATAATTAATTTATATGAAATTGCACACTAATACTAATACATTTTAAGTAACTTAAGTAATTTCGCATTGCAAATTTGCATAATAAGTTTCATTTTCGCTTTTACAATAAATTTCTGTTTATACAACAAAACTGTTCCGCGAATATGATATATCACTCTCAGCGAATATTATGTATCACTTAGCGAATATGACGTATTTTCATTCTTATTATAATCTTTATTCGATTTTAGCAAAATTTGTAATATTTCACTGTAAATCTAATGGATATTTTTGGACATAATTTGAAAAATTATGGAGTTATATATTTAACAAGTCGAAATAAGATGGGTTCAAAAAATACTTTAATATTATTCAAATTCTCACACGTTTTAAATGAACTTTAGGGATCAAAAAGACTATAATGATCAAAAAATGTATTTAGATACTATATGAGATATGGGCTAGTTCTTATCTTACTTTCTTGGATTGAAACAAAATAGCATATAAGCGAAAAAGCTAGTATGTGTATGTTGATGCTCTGTAGTTTATATAATAAATATAATAGCAGATGATTTCGCGTCCCCTACCAGTTGCGTGATTACAATTTGACGTCATCTACCAACACTGCGCGCAAGTATCATGTGAAAAATTAATTGGTTTATTTTATACGTATTACGTTCACAATGTGTGCGTTCTATCAATTACAGTCAGAGGATACAGAAAATACTGGTCATGTGATGAAATATTTTTAAATTATGTCATGAAAAAATGACTTATAATTGGAATATGTTCACAAAAACTTCAATCTTTATGAACAAATGTTGAAATCCACTGATGTGTTATTCTTTTGTAATAAAATACTGTTACTGTCCTGGGCATAGAGTTGTTTTTTTTTTAGATTGTAATTGATAATTTCTTCAATAGTACTTGTATTCGATATTTATAAAATAAATTCCGTTATGGTAATAGTAGAAAAAAAAAATCTTATCCTCTTGAACATAAACTTTAGGTACTTTTAAGTCCTGTGAAAATCAGCTGTTATATAATTTAATAATATTCAATTCAATATTTAGTTCTCAACTGAGAATAATGAAAATCCTTATTAACCAAACCTTTAAAAAAGTATATAAAATATTTTATCACCCTGAAATGAATGTATTACAACTGAATATAATGAAAAAAAACTCGCGATTTTTTTGACTTATTAAGCTTTCGAAGACCATTTTAGCGTTAACTTATCTGCAAGACATTAAACATATTTAAAAAAAAATAAACAGTGACTTATCAAGCCTAGTTGGAAACCAGTAACTCTTCAATCAAGTTCAGTGGAAAAAATTGGTTCCCTTAAATCCTGTTTGATATCAAGGATGATCCTTATGACACCAAACGTGGACCAAAATGAGCATAGCAGACCGAAACCGTGGAGAATAAGATAATATTTACTATGTAAAAATAATTTTCAAGAAAACCATTTCATGTCCAAAAAATCTAGCGACAAAACAACTTTACATACGAAACGCAGTTATATATTTTAACACATGCTTTTCGATTGTTAGGAGTGGAGTTTTTAGATAGTAATTACTTATATCAAAAGTAATACGAATAATTCAAATTGGGGGTTCTTCCAAATCCGGTTAAAACATGGGTTGTTTTATTGTACTTATAGAATATTTAAAATAATAAAGGCAGTTTCATTTGATAATATACCTAAAATTACCTACATAGTGAAGTTTTCTCAAGGTAGGAACATTTTTCTGTCCTAGGTGATTACTGTAATAACATAAATGCTTTGAGCAGTGCTATGTTAAGACCAGAAATACTTAATTAATAGTACAGTATTTAATAACTGAGTTATAGTCAGTAATAATGAGTTATTTTTTTTGGTCTCATCTACAATACGAAAATTTGTTTATGTTTATATACTATGAAAGATATAGAAACATTATTGTTCCTTATTTTCGTTTGTACTATTTTTTGTTCAATTTGGTATAAAATTTGTATAAGCTTTAAAACCAAAACAGAAAAATCTGATATATAACTATACAAGTCCCAAGAAGTACATTCCTTGAAACAAACAAGATATTTTGAGGACTTAAGGTTTTCCAAAGAAAGAAGATCAAATAACAAATGTCGAGCATAATAAATTTAAATATTAAGCTATATATAATTAAAACTCGAGCAATAGTTACAACAACAATAGCTTATACTAACCTTTCAAAGACTGGAGGTATTCAAAGATGTGTGGCGTAGCATAGTCTGAAGGAGTTTTTCCTTTGGCGTTCTTTGCGAAAGGATCAGCTCCACGTTCTATGAGGAGTTCTACCATCTTCAGATTGCCAGAGGTAGTTGCATCGTGGAGTGGTGTGTCATCATCTAGGCCCTTAGCATTCACATTAGCACCGCCTTCTACTAACACAGTCACCACTTCGAACCAACCGTAGCTACAAGCCTCATGCAGGGCTGTCCAACCTGTAGGATAACATAATCGTTATATGAAAATCATTGATGATGCTATGAATATTGGCGAAAATAAAAGTATAGCAAATAAGTATAACATGTTAGCAAAAAATAGATTTAGCTAAATAATGGTTGGCTTTAATTTCTGAAATTCTAACCAACTCCAGTTATTTTCAGTTACACATTAAAATATTACATTTTCATAATTGTAGTCATCTATTTTAAAGACATATTTAAATTATTAGCATAACATATTTAAATGATATATTAATTTTAAGTCAAATAATGCTACTTAAATTTTTCTTTCTACAAGACATGGGTATCACTTTTAAAATATTTTTAATTGTTACTTTCATATATCAAGACTCTCCATGCTATGTGCTTTTTAAATCTTTATTTAGGTTCACAGCAATAAATATAAGATAAAAGAAAACAGCAATAAAAAAAAAATCTTGCAAAAATGGCTTAAAAAATATTTATAATTTATTACAATTTGTTTTGCCATCATGATAATGTAAAGGTGACTTACCTTTAATATATCATTATTTCTTGTAAATTTGATTGAGGATCAAGCAATTATGAATAAATATACTCACACTTACATCAAAATAAAAATGCAATAGAGATGAGTAAATTGTAAAAGTTAATTATGTATTCCATCACACATAGATTTTTTTAAATTAAAATATAAATAAAGGTTCTTGTTTTGCAATCAATCCTTTTTATACTTGAAGACAAGTTTAATTTGATACAAATATTCAAAACAAAAAATTTGATTAAATAAAATTCTAAAAAAAGGTAAAATGTACATGTATTTTTGTATGAAGTTTTCGATTTGTCACAAGAGTAATATAAAAACACCAGCGTTTGCCTCTGAGTTTACTCTGATGTTGATAATTATTATGTTTAGAATAATTTCTAGATATCTTCACTGTTATCAGTATGAATGTAACTTTAGAATGTTAGGTCAAAATATTTCTTTATATAATGTACCTCATAGGTACTTATTTATGATTTTTTTTAAATATAGAGACTTCAAAACGATATTTTTGAAGGAATTTTCACTGAAACAGCTACAATAGCTCTTTATTATGTGATTTCCTGAGTAGCCAGTTTAGGCATAAAAATCAACATTATATTTGTGTAAACAAATAAATTTAATAACATCTATTAGTACTATGTAAAATATTATTCATGATAGATCTAGAATAAATGAATTAAGTACAAAAGATATTAAATTCTCATAATAATAACACTATAACATGTTCATTTGTAATTGTTTAATGTAAGACATGTGGTTGGCTTGTTTTTAAATTGAGCATCATATTTCTCACAGGCAGAGATGTAGTAGTGTTGACCTTTGACCTATCATTTTTCACCTTCAAACGAGCCCAATATTAAAACAACTAGACTCTAGTTACCTAAGTAACAAAGATGGTTTGAAAGAATTAAATTACATTCATAACATATGATTCTGCAAGAGTAATTAATGATTAAACAAATTGTTATTTACACAAAACAGCTTCGTCTGGTTTTATTAAAGAAAAAACGAATAAAAAGTTTATAAACAATTTGAATTTCAAACACTTGATTATTATTATAATATTTTTTTATATTTAAAAATTTATTATATCATAATATTCATCAAAAAAAGCATTTAAAGCATATCCTTGATTCGTTAATGTACATATTTTTTTTATTAGTACTAAATACGATTTAAAGGTAGATTTCTTATATGTAGGTCAATAATGTTGCTCCACTATTAACCACTCCTACAAACACCGAGAACAATTCATATAAAGGATACAGCCATTTATTATATAATTCATTAAATAATATTATTTATTTACATGTAACTTTTTGGTCACATTCAATAATAAATACTGTTAAACTCGTTTTCTGACTTATTTTTGGCTTAATAAATTCATCAATGGATCCATTCAAGCATATATACATGGCATTTAACTTAATTTAGCAAAAAAAAAATTATTGATATGAAAATGAAAACATATTCTAAAACTTCTCATACTCCTGTGACAATATAAGTCCTATCTCAATAAATTATAGTTAATTTTACCCATACTTGTTTAAACAATGTCATATCAATATAATTAATAACTTGTAATTAATGTTTAACTCGGCCAGTGAAAATTCTCATTTTGATACATTTAATATCATTATTTGTTGCTTATAACATATATAAGTGTAATAAAATCTTCAATAAATAAATACTTTCACAAATCAAACAATAAATGTCACTGAGAATAGGTAATAAAAATTAATCAGGTGACAAATGTACCCTCGATTGATCTTTAAAATAATATATATTAAAAGTTTATATAAAGTTTGAGTTTAAGGAAAAGGCAGAAATAACTATAAACCATTAGATTTCTCTACATTTGTAAACATTAGTTTATCAAAGTATAGAACTTCCTGAATACTACACAACAAGACACTTGACTCAATAAAAATTATATATAACGAGATGGGAGGCAGTGAATAAATATATTGTTTTCAATTGTTACTCATGTCACATCTAATATCAAGTACAGCTATTCTTACTTTGCCGATGGAGTAATTTTTTATTAGTATTACTAAACAAACATAAGAAATTCCCGGTATTAATACTTAAACTATGTGTCATAGAAGAAAATATATAAAAACCATATAACCTACCCGCAATATTGATTATATATTTTGTTATAATACATAAAAAAACTGTTTATAATGAATTTCAATTGTTATTTACATCCTAAGTCAGTTTTTGTTAATGTATATGTAAGAAAAATCTATGATAATATTTATTAAAGATGTAAATAAAGTTTATTATGATCACACACAGCAACTTTTTCTAATAATTACACTAATCTTAACACTATATATGCTAACAATGAGCAGTAATTGAAAAATACACACATACCGGCAAAATCTGGAATGTCTGGGTTTTGACCCTGATCAAGAAGCTTCTTGACTTGCTCATGGTCTCCTCTTATAGCTGCTACATGCAATGGTGTTTCTCCGCGTTCATTTCGTTGCTGTCGAGTATGCTTCCGTTCCTCGGCCGGAGTCGGAGCGGCTAAACCAAAAATGGCGGGAAGTTATAGTACACCAGTAAATCCCAATATATATGTTATCCACCTATTTGCGGTACCTGGAGGGGCATCCTGGGATGATATTTGCATCACCAGTGCCAACTGCTGCCGCTCCGACATGGGGGCTATGACTTGGGGCTTCGGCGCGCCATCAGCCCCGCGCCCAGAGCCCCGCGACCGAGACGTCGACGGCATGCTCCGCGCATAACCACGCTTCTACGCATATATTAAATCCGTTGAATGTTGAAAGGTTAAGCCGAAATAAAACGTCTATTTCACTAACGCGCCAACTGCTGAACATTCGGTGTAATTACTTTTTCTTATATACCCACCTTCCTTTTAACGCCAACCAGAATTACGAATTTTTATTGCTCTTTTAAAAAACTTTCGTATGCTTTTTTAAAGAAAAATAAAACAAAAACAAAATTAAACATCTTAGTTTCCTTTTAAAATGTTTCAATTAGACATCACGACGGCCGACGAACCACAATTCACAAATACGACGTTTAGTCTCGAACGCTAGTGTTGTGCACCGGCACTTCTAAACTCAAGAGTAAGATATAAAAGTCATAGTTACTTTTACCCAGAATACAAAATCATTTAAAACTAAATAATTATAAATATTTTTACGATTTTGTTGTCAATAAAAATAGTGGGTTAGTGTTTTGTTAAATTTTTAAGTTTCGATGGCACTAGAAAGTACCGTAAACATGACTATTTTGAAATACATTTACTTAAAAAAATATGAAATATTAAATAAAAATTCCCACAATCTAATATTAGTGGTATTTGTACTTAAGACACCTTGTCATAGTAATTTTATGTTTTGTAAATATTGTAAGATATACATATAAGTAATGATTGTGTTTTGATGATGATATTATCTATAGGTTCCATATGAAAAATTTATAAAAAGATATATTTGGGTTTGGGTACAATAATATATTTTTAGATATTTTTCATAGTATAATTAGAACACACATTTCTGAAACTAAGTTTAATTATTATAAGGATACGCCTATTATAATTCAGAATCGAAGTTCAGAAACATGCTTTTAGTTATAATTTGGGTCTCAAATGATGGCTTCACGTTGAAAGACACATAGTAGCAGGCCTTATTACTTTAAAAGTAAATTAAATATAAAAATATTTTTTTTAAAAGTTGCCTGAACGCTTTCAGAAGTATTTGAAAGATTATTGTTTGCGTATGCAGTAAATTTTAAGAAAATAAATTTAATTATATGAGTTACAACTTCACTAGATTTAATTTCATATCTTGCGGTTTTTCTCAATATGCATATATACTTACGTATATAAATGGGGTTAACCGTAGCTTGTTATCTGTCGGCAATTGAAAAATTGACAAATGACAATAGAGACCACTATATGATACCTAATTCTTTTGCCAAAAACATTGGAGTTAGTACCTATTATTAAAATAGAAAAAGAATAACGTCTAATGATATTTAGTTCAATTTAAAATGTGGCGTCCAACTTTTACAATTCTTCGAAAAGTGGTCTTTCCCCACTACAAGGAAACATCCTCATTTTCAAAATTATTTTATTCCACCAAAAGCCGATTTCCTCGTTCGACGGCAAAACTAACCCTTATAAGTGCCAGTGTGGGTGTTTTAGTTGGGGCTGGATATGGCGGTTACACACATTATAAGATAAATGTTAAGAAGCCTACGCAAGCGACAGAAGTGGAGGAATACGTCTTACTAAAAGAAGCCCCAAAATATCAAGCCCAGTATAGAGTACGTATCTCTTTATTCAGAAGAAAAAATCGTTTGTTTTGTGGCCCATCTTACCTTATAAAATTATTCACCTAAGTAAAAAAAAAAACAGAAAATCTAACATTACCTCATACCTCTACATTGCGTTTTCAAACATATGCTGTCTTCATATTTATCTTTTATAGAGTCTTGCAATTTTTTTTAAATAAATTATCATTGCCCTTTTAAAACTTCACCAGGTATTTAAGCAAGCATATGGCCAGTAGCACATTATTTGTGGAGCCTAAGATCTGGATTGGTCTTTTAAATAAATTCATATACCTAGATAACTTTTAGTACAAGCTATGCACTTATTTTCATGGTTTGTAACATCACATATATTAAACAATGTTTGTATTAATAAGTTTATGTATCCAATCAGTTTTTCGCTTAGCAAAAGAAGTAGTTTTAAATGTGTAGGGCTATGTTTTAGAAGCATCTACTGAATTAAATAGCCATATACAAGAAATTATAATAAATGTGCAATAAGTTGCAATTATTTAACATTAGAATACTGAGCTACTCCTATTAAGCATTTAACAGGTGTCTAAGGCTTCCTTCTGCCAATTTGTTTGCCTATATTGTAATGTCAATAAATGCTATTTTGTTCTATCATAAACTTATAATGTATGTGATGAATGATTGCTACGCGACTGAATAATTTTTGTATTACATATTTTCTTGTCTTTTGTATTCTGTGAATTTATGTAGTTGAAATGTTTGATCTATATTAAATTTTTATATCTCACATAAAGATTATAGGTATTTGTTGAACTGTTTGTTTACACATATGTGTGTCTAAGTGAAGATATTTTTTTTCAACTTTCTATAAGCAATAATTTTATTGATTTGTGTTAAATATTGCCACAGCGAATGAATTTTTATCATAGACAAATAAATATATCATGTGATGTAATTTTTTAGGTTGTTAACGATTCCGATAACAGTAATTTGGAATTGGTACTGTTCCAATACCGCACTTGTCCATTCTGCTGCAAGGTTCGGTCATACCTCGATGCTCGTGGTATCAATTATGAAGTCGTTGAAGTCGATGCTGTACTTAGACAGGCAATCAGATGGTCGAATTACAAGAAAGTACCTATTCTGCTAGCTAAAGTGGAAGGAGGATATCAAGTATGAAAATATTGAGATATAAGAATTTAAATGAAACTAATATTTTGGAGACACTCACATCTCATCTGTCCATGATCACGGTTGCTGTAAAATAGCCGAAAGTTCGGGAGTATATAGTTTTTGATAAAAAATAAAATCGCGTAGTACATCCGAAAAATATTAGTTTCATTTATATGAAATTATTCATTTAATACTTTAGTTGTTTAGGGCGTATGTGTAATAAAGTTGTATTTTTAAATTTCCAGCAATTATTAGACAGCACCGCTATAATATCTATGTTAGAAACATATTTGAGGGATAAATCTTATCAATTAAGTGACATTGTGAAATTCTATCCCGCAACCCGTTTTGTTAATGACTCCGGGAAGGTTGCAACTGATATAACAAATAAATATTTTGTTATGCACAATGCTCCTGTGCTTGATGAAAAGCAAAAAGCGGCGGAAGCGTAAGTATTTAGAGTGTTAATTAATGTGAATAAAACATACTTTTTTGATAGTTTTCTTAAATTTATATCTAGAAATGATAATTTCAATCAGTCAAGTTCAGTAGCACCTTGCTATATGTTTTTTACATATTTTGAAATTATATATACCTTTCAGGCATGAGTTATATTTGTATGATATCATTTTAGGTTCATCAAACTGTAATAAAATTATCTCTTTGTATGACAATCTATCATCGGTTTTACTTTTCATGTATTTCATTAAAAAAATATAGTAATATGAAGAAAAGAAGAGGATTTTTATTTTGCATGTTTTTAGTGATAATTATATGATGATGGTTATTTTCTCAGCGAGGAACGCCAATGGAGGCAGTGGGCTGATCAGGTGTTGGTTCATACATTGTCACCTAATGTGTATAGAACTGTCGGAGAGGCTTTGGAGACATTCAAGTGGTTTGAAGAAGTTGGTGGTTGGAAGCAATCTTTCCCGGCCTGGGAGTGTGCATTGATGGTGTATGTTGGTGCCGCAGCTATGTGGATTATATCAAAGAGATTAAAGTCGAGGTATTTAACATTTTTATTAATAACCAGTTTTTGTTCGCAACTTCGTCGGTGTTAATTTTGACATTGGTACTATATATAGCTGAGCGGGCGAACTCTATTCTGTCCTAAAGGCCGTAATTTACTAGATATTGGAATTTATTAAGTATTTTTTTATGATTATCAAATAGAATTAAATATCTTATGTCCCTCTTCTGGTACTGAAGCTATCCACCTGCAAATTTTTTACCATAACTCTAAAGCCGTTCTTGAGTTATAAATAGTGTAACTAACACAACTTTCTGTTATATATATAAAGATTAACATTAAAGAAAAACATCACATATATTACCTATTATAACCTTAATTATATATCAAATGTGTGGACATGTAATTTGTAGTATTTTTTGTTTTATTTCTACTTGATTTAGAATGTATTAAGCTATTGTATTTTTTTATTTCATAGATTCCATGAATCATAATTAATATTTTTATGAAAATTGTTTTCAGACACAACATTAAAGATGATGTTCGACAATCACTGTATGATGCTGCTAACGATTGGATGAAAGCCGTCCAGAAAAAAGGCACTCCTTTCCTGGGTGGTAATAAACCAAATCTAGCTGATATATCAGTTTTTGGAGTGCTAAGCAGTATTGAAGGTTGTGGTGCCTTCGAAGATCTAAAGACCAACACCAGTATAGGAAAATGGTTCCAAGATATGAAGATGAACATGAAAGAAACTAGTGGAAAACATCTTGCCACTTATGCTTAATATATGAGAATTTCTTATAACCAAGTGAACGTAGAAGTGGGCATAATTTGTTTAGCTATTATTACTTTATTTTCTTTTTAAACATTAATTCTAATTCGGTACATATTTTACGTATTAGAAACATGTGATAATATTATTCTTCTGAGATAATTATGTTTTTCTCATCATTAAGATACAGTACATTTATTTAATTGGTGTAATTTAAGTATGAAACATTTATGTTGCTAGTTAATAAAACGTTGATGAAAAAAGTCATGTTTTTATTTCATATATTATGACAATTTATTTTAACAAAAATTAATACATCAAAAAGAAAATATTAGTGTTTTGCAATTGTGTGACTAACATCTTCTTTTTAAGTGGTTTACATTATTTTGAGTTTATCTAATATAATTATAGTATTTTGGTTAATTAATCTAACAGGCGACTTGAGTGTATGTGAGTGAAAAACCTCTGTTGGCGACATCTGGCGGCGTCGTTGCAGTTACACCTTCATTACCGTTCGTTACAACGTATAAGACGAACGGTTTAGCGTTAGCTGTAATTAAAAATTATCATTTTAATGATTTAATATTTTACCTTATATAAATGGACTTTTATTAAGATAGAAGGAAGAATAGGAGCAATATTATTACTTAGTATTAAGGAATCTTAAAGGCTGAGAAAAATGAAAGTTAAGTGATAATTGAAGCTAGATGGTAAACTATAAATTTGTTTAACAAAAAGGGACTTTAATTACAATGAAATAGAACTTACATTGCACGGGCACGAAACCGAGGCCACAAAAACGATCAGTGTTGACTGGTACACCAGTGGCAGTAATTACAGGATTGGGTATAACAACGAAATCGGTTGTACACGCCGCCCCGTTCACTGCTCCTACTGCCGTCCCTAATACTGTATTATCAGCGCCTTCGACATCCCCCGTCACGGTAAAGGAAAAAACGCTGCTAGCAGACTGAACAAAAAATGGTTATATATTAGATTAAGATAAAGACTTTTTATAGATAATATTTAGTATGCATTACCTGTGCATACTGTATGCCACAAAAACCGGCCTCCATTCTGATGCATATGCCATAATTTAAATTGGCGATTTGTCTAGTTCCTGTGACGAGTGACGCGCTCAGAGCAGTGTTAGCCGCGGTGCCGTAATTGAAGCTATTTATGGTCCCAGTCATACCCGTGTAGTATTGCAAGCATCCGTTTGGCGCTGGAATTATTTTTATTAAAATTACCCAAAAATAGGTTTATTTGTATATAGGGAATACGTGGTGAGAATGCTGTTTACCTATTCCAGGACAATCGCATCCTAGTTGAGTTAGTTGTATGTTCCATCGCCTTGAAAACGTGGTGGCAAGAGTAGCTGTCACGGTTATTGTTATAGCGGTGTTCCCATTGAAATCAACGAATAAAGTCTGGCCCGTATTGTCTCCGCAAAGAAGTGGGACCACTGTATTCCCTCCAGTTATACTTATGGAATCGGTGTTGCAAATGCCATCGCCATCGGGTTGCGCCAAGACCAAATCCAAGAAGTCAATTCGAAGCTACAAAACCAGTATTAAATGATCTTTCGTTTTCGTTGGAAATTATTTATAATAAAGAATGCTTACCTGACAAACATTGCTATTACAGCGATTAACTATGATGCTGCAGGCTTGTCCGCCAGCGTACGCTGAAGGGTATCCCGGACTAGTGAAGTAAGTGTTGTTTACGTTTGTAGTAGCTCCACAACTTCTTGATACTGGAAGTTTTTAATATTATAGGTATATGTCACATAACAATCAAAATACTTGATATATATTTTTATATTTACCAATGCAACATCTGCCTCTCCGAGAAGCACAAGTGCCTGTAATGGTGCCGTTAAGATTATTGCATTCGCGACGAGCAAGACATGTGCCGTTCATTGTACTCGAACTGGAACATTCCACGTTGGCGAAACGGACGATGCTGACGAATGGGAATACTGTAAATTAAAAAACCCAGGATAATTTATTTAGAAATAATTATTTTTAGTGTTTACTGCTATTCCACCACACCACACTTGGAAGAAGTGGTAGAAATGAAAACATACGTGATGAACGCAGTAACGGTGTATTCACTCTAGCCTTGATTACACTCAAATTATAATATGAAGGAAACAGAGACAGGCAAATCGTTCTAATCGTGCTGTGTGCATGGAAAGAAAGAAGAGTATCGTTTCGTTCGGATGTGCGAATAATGTTTACATCGAAAGGATGGAGACTCAACGTCCGTTGGTAAAAAGGTTATTGAGGAAATAAATTGTGTAAACACTCTTTAGTATCTCACAGACTACTTAGAGACTGGCTACTTTAAGCTTGTACTCAAGGCTTACTAGGGTAGTTTTATTCAAAATCGAGGCAGCCGATAATTCTTTCTGCATGTCTATCCATAGAGTCCAAAGTAGTTACATGATATTAGTATAGTATAGATGAAGAAGCTAACTCCGCGAGAAACAGTGCCCTATTGTTAGAAAGATATTGAGATTTTTGCTGCAGCCTTAGCTTTGGACTCTACAATCTTCAAAGACAGACAAACACGATAAATAAGTTAAATATTACATATCAGCGATAACTTGGTGTATGCGTTTTTAATATCCATTTAATTAAGAAATACAGATTCAAAATTTGTTAATTTTATAACAATTACAAATCTTTTTTAATTGTAATAAAGTGTAATTAAGTGATTAAAAGAGAATTGTAATAGTGCAGTCAATTTTAAGTAAAACTTTTCAATCCACTGTCCTAGTTAATATCACTCGATTTGTTTACAAGCGACATGTTTGAAACGTGCTAAGTGACCTCCTTAACTTAATTCTTTAGAAATTTTTGTTGTAAACTTAACCTAATCCACAAGTATTTCGAACAGATTTTTGTAAGTACGTTTGGTCCAGTTTAACAAGGAATTACGTCCGTCAATTGACATTCACAAATTATCAGCATCGTTAAATTTTGAGTTTTCTTTAAAAAACTTATTAAATCCAGATGTTCCGTATACTTTTTTTGCATTCAATTAGTATATCATTTATTACACTTTACATGATAGTATTAAAAATAATATTTTATTTAATTTTTACAAATATTTGTAACTTCCTAAAACTTTGGATACATTTTATCTTTTTTTTATCAAATTTTTAAAGAAAGTTAGTATTCAAGTAAATAATTTTGCTGCATAAAAAAGAAGAAAACAGATTTTAAGATATCTAGAAGCAATAAGCCTATGAGAGGAAACACCAGTAAGCGCACGCATTTAATAAAAACAATCTAAGAAATTATTTGTAATTAATTAAAGAGGAATACTTTTAAAACTAAACCAATAATTGTTTCATAAAGTTTAAAAGAGGTCTTATATTTTTATTTTTGTTATTAAAATATACATAATTTAAATTTGTTTCATTAAGAACTTTCTTCGTAAAATATATATACGATTTTTCATTTTACAACTCATGTTCGATTTATAATTTTTGACAGTTCATTTAGTCGCATAGCTATTTATTACTAAGAGAGGTTCGAAAAAAAGTCGCGTTTGCATTTTGTTTTCAATTTTTTTATATAGATAATAATAAAATTTATTTACTTACAAATTTTGCCTTCTCTTCTCCCATGAACATCGATGTCATTATCGTCTTCATCTTCGAAATTGTCTTCCAAAACAGTAAACGCTGTAATCGCGATAACTGACGTTATAAAAATAAACCAAAATAGTTTGCTCGTCATTTTCTTCGTTTTTCAGCACTAGGGAAATTAGATACAAATGTAATATGTTTAATGTCTGAACATTATCGATTGGAATGTTCAATAGTATGGTTTAAATTATGAAATGAGCGGACGATCTCAGCACATGAAACTTAAATAAAGTAGACACTAACGGTAGGTTATTTGTAAAAACTGTTAGGAGCTGCCGTTATTCGTTTAGCACTTTCAGACATAGTATGTAAATGGTTTGGTCATCTGAAATAGTGTCATTTTCATATTAATTAGTTTCATAGGGATTAGTGACCTGTTGTAAATATAAATAGGAAAGTTTTATGACGAGGACTTTTTTAACGATAAAGAAATATGTTGAATGGAATGTTTACCCCAAATTTTGCATGTTGAAATATTTTCATGTTATTTCATTCATAAATCTTCACGCATTTTAGAATTAACGTAGCTAAGATTGACGATACAGATTCTGGTAAGGGTACAATTAACACAGCAAGAGATTTCTTTCTTAAACATAGGTATATCATAGAATAGATTGTAAATTAGATTTAGTTTATCTTATCTGCCTAAAAATAGCGATTTTTGTCTTTTGTGTTTGTCTCTGTTTTGTTTTGTTTGTTTTCATTATTATTATTATTATTATCATTTGCTTTTACTAACATTAGTTATAAGGTTGACATGTATTACTAATATTTAAATATGGACTATGTCTGAGATAAAAATAAATTATTATTATTATTATTATTATTAAACTATTCCTTTAATGGAAATGTAATTATTTTATTTATGTACCTTTTTTTGAATAAGATCTAAATTCTTGCTTGTCAAAAACACAAAGTATTCCTAAGATTTAGGTATAAAACTTAATTTTTTGCTCTGCACTTGATATTTCAATCGAAGAAATCAAGAAAAACTCTCCAAACTTTTAAGTATCATTGAAATATGTTTTGTGAGATTGAGGCATTTTCTTTTATCAAGTTTACAATCTTCAGGAATATAAATACTTTACTCTTTTATTATTGTTTGGGAGTTGAAATTACGTCAAAATGGAGACAGCATTGCACAGCGACGATTGTAAAAAGTTGTAAGTAATGAATTTTAAAGAAAACGAAAGCATTAAATTACGAAAAACTAAAAACCAAGCTTATACTAAAACAAAGAGGTTTTATATCAACTTATTTTATTGGAATTATAAGTAAAAACTAAATAAAGATTTATATTATTACATCTTTGATTGACCACAATTCTCGAGAAAGAGTTAATGTTAGACAGATTAAAAATCATTAATTTAAAATTTTGTGTAAAATGGGTATTTAATAAAACAAATAATATCAATGTGACTAATTTAATTTGTTCCGAAGTACGAATATTGAAACAATTTTTACAATTATGTATTACACTCAAATTGTAAGTTACAATTACAAAAAAAACAAACAGTTGTACCAATAACTTATATAAATAATTAAATAGCTTGCTTGTTACCAAAAAAATAAATAAACGAAAACTATTTCTCATAATGAATTGTTTTTTAAAGGGACAAAGTATTAAATAATCTTTGTTTTACATATTTATCTGTGAAATTTATAGGAGATTTATTATTTTTATAGGCTATTGGTACAACGCATGTGTAAGTGGTTGTGCAAATTACTTATAATTTCTGATCTATGGCACAGTGACTCTGTACAATAAGAAATAAGATATTTTCTGTATATTGAAAAAGACGATATTCACAAAAGATTTAACCGTTATACAAGATTTGTTTGATTACAAAAGGCTCGTTTATGTACTAAGACTTTTATGATTACTTAAAACTACAATTCAATCAATTAAATACTCGGGGCAAGGGCATCATAAACCCTCTAAGGCAAGCATTACTCTGTGCGTATTTAAAAAAATTTAAATAACAAAAAATGTTAGTAAATCACACGTCTGGCAACTCATGAAAATAGGTACTTTATATCATTATGCAAAAATGTTCACTTATCTAAAAATACACAATATTTTTACACTCTCCTATACATAAAAAACAGTAAATAATATCCATATAAGTATAAAAGAATTCGAAAGTTCATTGGTAATAAATTATTTCGTGACTTAGTCCATATAAACCTACAAGACAACTTAAATAAAACGGAAAAATTATAAATAGCTTATGTCCACAATTCAAAATGTCGATATATTAAATAGATACAGGGACTAAGTAAAGATTAAGAGTGAGGTACTATATTTTCTATACATAAAGTTACAGGCTTAAGATAATATTAATAACAATTTAATAAAACTAAAAATAATGTCTCTACAGTATGGCATCTCCTGACATATAATATGGCAAACATTCTATACAATATGTATGTATTGCGCTATAAGTCATGTAACTTCAATGAAACTTTATACGCGTCATAAGGCACAAATAAATTATACTACGTCGAAGGTTATTGATTGAAAATTGGGAAGCGAATATTTTTGACGTTTTCTATAAATTGAATTTTTATTATCTGTTTCATAATCTTGAAGATTTTTGAGTTAAAAAAATACAATGACAATGGTACTGGGAACGCAGTTCTTCTATGATATTGCAGAAATTTAATGAAAATGAAAAAATATATATATGTCAAATCCTGAGTAAATTATTACTATCACGTGCTTTGTTTTTTTTTATTGTGGTTGTCGATTGGTTTAATTTTAAAATATAGATAATGAATTAAATGTGGGTGCCTCTTGAAGTTTAGAAATAACAAAGTTATGAAGATTTTTTATGAGGGCAACAATGCACGAGATAATTACATGGTCACAATTTTCGAAAATAATTTATTTAAAAACGGAATACAATTTAAATACTACGCGACATTGGCAAATAATAACAAAATATGCATCGTGATGAAAGTCAGTAATGATTTTAACTTGATTTTCGACTCCAAAATTTAATAATCTAATTTCGATATACTGAAAAGTTTATTTTTATGTATCGAATAACATAAATTATTCGCAAATATAAGGTACAATTCAATAAGAAACTATATTTGAAAAACTTTCGTAATGTTATATTAGTAAAATATCTAAAATTACTAACAACATATTAAATGCAAAGAGAAAGTGGCAAGACTAAATAATTATACATAATTTATATATGGAACAGTCAAAATGTGTTAAATTAACGTACTATCGGATATTATAAGATTTTTTTGCTTGTTTTATTCTTATTATAATTATACTATTGAAACTTGTGGTAATGAAGTCTAGATATAAGAAATATTAACGTAAAATTTACACATCCGTCTGTAGAATAGTAAGTCAGTAAAGACGAAGCGTGTGCTATTTTAATATCCAAATATTATAAAGTGTTAAGAATTTATTTTAATTATTATTCTATATAAATAAGCACAACTTACATTAGCACAAAACTAGTGACTATAAGTGATGGCATTTAATAATATTCACATACAAGTAAATTGTGTTTGAAAGGCACTCTTGAAAATATCTTGCAATTCAGTGGACGGAGGCAATAAGGCTGAATATAAATATTTTTTTCTTAAATTTACTAAAGCGTTTATTATACATATATATAAACTATACTAATATTTTTGTTTAGATTAAAAGATGTGCGTACCAGGTATATGTGGTTAGAATATTAATGTTTTAAAGATGTTAAGCCTTTTATAAATAATATATTTGTATGGCCGTGCTTATAAAACGAAACAAAAATTGCTATAAATTGAGACTAGAAAGTTTCCGATTGATACGACCCGTTTGATTATCTAAAACAGTGTTTTTTTTGTTTTGTTACTTTCATCAATATATTATGTAGTATTGGTTAGATTGTTTTGCTTTCTATGGAAATGTACTTGATATGTATATCAAATAATGTTCTCTATTACCAGGTCGTAAAATCCAAAAAACACGCAATAAACACTAATTTCTACAGCCTAATTGTGATACTTTTTTTTTCATAATTAACAAAATATCATTAATATCTTGGATATCTCTTGTTTCCTAATATTAATTAAACTTACAATAAATTAATCATAACTAATGAATACTAAGAGCTTTATAATGAAATGTTCGTGACCCCGTCGCCACTACAGTGAGCAATTATAGAGACGCTAAAATATTAATTAAAAAATGGACGATTACTCATGATTTATTAAAAAAACGGTCTCTAAGAAGCCAATTAAAATTAGAATCGATTTTATAGAAATCTATCGATTATGAAAAAAATCTATTAGTATTCTTGTATATGGTATAATTATTTTTATTTCAGATGTGATAATTTTTTTTATCGATACAAGAGCTTCGGGTTCACGGAACATGACGTCACACTAAAATAATTGTCATTTTAAATGTACATAAATATTTATAAAATACTTATCGATAAAATATTTTGGGTTGTTTTAATAGATTACTCTGAACTAACAATATACAATAATAATTAAGTATGTAGATATGTAAAGCGATTTCCTTGGTAAATATTGTACCTATTGTGATTTCTTTTTTTTTTTAAACTTTATATTATAAATTTACAATATGGTTAACTGTGGATTAACTCCTTGCTACACTCAGAAAACGTGTCTAAATATTATGTGTAGACGTATTATGATGTTTTTTTTATTTAGTGGGTATAATTATGACGTTCATTTTTAGCTTCGCTTTGACATAGGTCAAGTTCACTTGTAACACATTCGCGGGACAGCTAAGTCAAAGCACGCTGTATAATGTGTCCATCAGGTTTGTCTCCAGATCGCACTCTAAAAAGAGGCTCTCGCTACATTCCTCCTGGAAAATAAAATAATCAAGTTACGAATTCAGGAAATTATATAGATATTTTTGAAGAAATTGAAGCCAGGCGTAGTGATACTAGTACAATTATTGCTAGGTTTTTTACTAAACATTTTTAAATTATTATAATGAAATCTATATAGGATATTTTTTTATGCAATTTGTACAAAAATTTAAATGAACGGTACATGAAAAGTATTCGTTATCGTCTATATAAGTACCTACCTATAAAACCATATATGTAGTATAGTTTAATTCTTACGTCTTTTATTTTATGGGAAAGTTTGTGCGAATGTATGTAATGTATTTTTTTTTTACAAATAAAACATGCTGAGTTGATTTTGATGAATTTTTTAAATAGTGCAGATTAGACATGAGAATGTAATAATTGAACAGAGACACAAATATTACAGACGAATGGTCATAAATATTATACTCGAGTATGCATGCATTATAAACATATACATGCATTATAAACACTAATCACGGTTGTTGAAAAGTAATCGAAACTTGAGTAGTATTAAGTACGTAGTTTTTTAAAATATGCGTAGTAATCCATAATTAGCATCAGATATTATTAATAATGCTCACATGTACAGGTTGAGGCGCGGACGTTTCCCCGCCTCTTCTCATCTGTCATTTGGACGTCTTCGGCAGGTGCCGTTTCATGTGCAACGCCAGGTGATCCGACCTAGCGAACGAGCGCTCGCATACCGCACACTTGAACGGCTTAGCGCCGGTGTGTTTGCGATAATGACGCGTCAATTCATCGGATCTTGCAAACCGCCATTCGCACTCGGGCCATTGACAAGTATACGGTTTCTCTCCTAAAATTCATTAACATTTATACCATTGTTGATTATATAGTAAAAACATTCGCGTGAATTCATGTGAAAGAAAATGTAGTCTTTGTATTGATTTAGGTTTTGTGTTTATGACTATTCATTCGCATTTAATAAGTTTAGATCTCGTTTAATATTAGTAATAAAAAATTTTAAGTTAAAAGAACATAATGGTTTAGTTTATTGAGTAAATTAAGTAGCTCGTCATCGCTATTGAATCTCTTCGCTTTTGCTGCACATATTCGCAATGCTATACTTTTAGTATGTATATATTACCTGTATGTATTCGCTGATGGGCTTTCAGATGAGAACTTTTGGTGTAGACCTTAGTGCAACCTGAAATAGGAAAAGAAATGAATTAATATTTTTTAAAACGTAGGTATTAGACTATAAGAATTATATTATGGTTTAAAAGGAAAATGCCTAATAAATATTTTTAGTTAATAAGAAAAAAAAATCTCTGTAGTCCAAGCCCGAAATTTTCATTTTATATTGTCTCAATGTTCTTTAATTAGATATTCTTTAATTGTTACTCTGAAATACTTTCCGTTCAACAAATATATTTTACTAAACAGCATCATCACATTCAAATTTTCCTACTTTTTGATGTTGCTCGTAAGACATATAATTACAATTATTTTATTAATTACTGTTTGAACCCTTGGCTTTGTACGTATGGATATATAATTTATATTCAGGGAGTTATTAATCATGTATGCTTAAATAAAATAGATATGATAATCAACTGGCACCACCATGTCTGTAACATTTTACTTATAGAATAAAATTTAATATCGTTTTCCTTGGAAGTCTACAAGGAGTTTTGAAATAAATTATAACCTATATTGTATACAAATAAGTCTGAAAATCCAACAGACAACCTTTCATCTTTACAACTGTGTACGCGTCCATAAAAATAGTAGGGATTATCTATATATTTTTGGCCTCAAATCAAACTTGTCGTCTTTGGGAACATGAGCTATTCATACCGTTAATTGTCTATGAAATATAAAGTTACATGCAAAATATAACTCAAAATTCACCATAGTCAATACTTTACTATATGTTTAAAAATAATTTATTTCATGTCATTCCATTGAATATAATTCAATCCCGTGTATTAAAATGTATATATATGTATTTGTGTACCGATAAAGTCGCAGTGATGCACTCTTCTCTTCTCTAGTTCAGGATTGTTCCGTCTGTTGTATTTGACGGATAGTGAGGTGAGTCGTGAGTGTGGCGTAGGATGAGGCACTTGCGGCAGTTGTGGCGCCATCTGTAACTGCTGCTGCGGTTGCTGCATCGCCTGGGTAAAGTTATTAGTTTAGTACACGAAGACCATATCAATCTAAGACTTGGAGGGCATCTTACCTGTTGCGGATGGTGATGAGTTTGTGGCAAGGGATGTTGTGGCGGAAGTGGATGAGGTGCTCGCAGCAACGGTGGTGGCTGTGGCGGATGTGGTGGCGCGTGGTACGGTGGTGGCGGCGTCCTGCGTGGCCCGCCCTGTAAGGGACAGGCGATCTACGTTGTACGATTTGCATTAATATAAATGTATTTATTTTCATTATATTATTATAAACATCATTGCATTTTCAATACATAAATTAAACACAATATAATTAACATATTATATAATCGCTAGCATAGACGGTACCATCTATCGCAGTCGCATGTCGCATAGCTCAAAATGTTTTATATACAACAAGATTATTTCTCATTTTACCTGCATCGAGTTCCCCGGGCTGCCTTGATCGGATCCCGGCGGTGTCAACGGTGACATGTAAATCAGCCTCGATGGTGGGTACTTTGAGAATGAGCTAGCAGGTTGCTGGTGTGGTTGATGCTGCGGCGGCTGCGGTTGCGCGTACGTCGGCGGGGCGCAGAGTCTTTCCGTCTTAATCTCCAGTGGGCTGAGCAGAGGAGTGACGCACTCCTCCAGTAGTGCATCCTCAGCTTCGAGTTTAACGTGTGTGGCTCCGAGGGGAGCGAGCATGTTAGCGTTCTCAGGGTCGATGTTCCTGATTGAAGAGGCGATGTCTTCCCACAGCGCTGGACGGAGGAAGGCATCGTCTCGCGAGCTCGTGCCGCCATCGAATAGCTCCATGTGGGACGGCGCCAGCGAAGCTCCCTCCTGCTTACAAAGCAGTGACTCCAGCTCAGATGTCTGAAATTTGTATGAATTTGAGGGTTAAATTTATATGCAAGCGTCTAAGTTTCTAATAATGTATATATACTTAAAATCGCATAATATCCGTGTAAAATATAATAATTGTAATAATTATTTTTATTTGAAAAACCTTGGAGATGATAAATCTTGTTTAGTTACTGTATTGTTTAATTATTGCCTATCCAGTTATAAGATATTGATACTTGAAAGGTCCATCAAGAAAACTAGTTTTCCTACTTGGGAATACAAATTCGGTACTAAATTTGTTTTATTAGGCTTAGTCAGATTTATTTAGTGAGAAGTATATTTCCCAAAAAAAAAAACCTAAAAAAGACGACGTCGTAAAGTTACACCTGATTCCTAAAATATAATTTTCTTAAAAGCGATGAAAGAAGGCATCTATCAAACATAATATTCGAGTTTATATGTAGTAACCAATTCAAACACTTTCAAAATCTATAATCCACTATTTAGTGTAAAGAACGGTTTAATTATCCCACAAGCTTTTGGTATGATATGACAGCAGTTTTTTAAATAGCAAACGTTGTTTACAATCAGATTTGAATTTAAAAAAATCCGCTGGTGTTATAGCTTAATTTCCAATTTCTCTGTTCAGCGTGGACAGAGCGTGATCCGCAGATATGAGGAACGCTTGGAGTCATTAGCATACAATGGATACTGTGCCCACGCGCGACGCAGGTGACGCGACGAACTTACAATTTGTCTTTATTGGCTGCCATCTTTGTATGAAGTTTTAGTCCACTTCAACATCTTATGTATACAATCATGAACGGGATAACTGATCCGCTTTGAATGCCTGATGAGAAGACTTCGGTTCGGATTTTAGTTTTGTTTTGCTATCGGTACGTAAGCTGGCGGTACCAAACATAAACAGTCACATTTTAATTTTAACATTTCTCAAAATTTGCGCTCGTTTTTAATTATATTAGAATCATATTTTTGTGGTAATAGATTTTATTTACGAAATGTTATTTTTTGTCAAAAAATGCTGATAGTTTTACATAAACAATTCAATACAAATAAAACGAATTCAACTCATATGTTATTAAAATAATCGTTGCCACATAAATGATCCATCTATATCATAAATTTGGACATAAATTGGCAGGGTTTTATCTATAATATCATGTTACATAAACAAAGCGTTCAACATGAATAGATTATTGAGTAAAATCAGATCAACCTGCCGTGTGCAGCTGTGATCGGTAACCCTTTGGTAAGAACCTCCTTGTTTGTGTCGCAAGCGCCGGACCGCGCGAATTCCTTCTTTGACCTTTGCGTATTGCGCCAACATCTCTACGGCTAGACGAGCTTAGGCAATTGCGACAGAGATTAAATATGTTACAGATCACACATTTGATTTAATTTTTTAATATTATATATGTACTATTATTACTTAAAATAATGAAACTAAAATATTAAGTATACATTTCGTAATACTATTTAGAAGTAAAATTCTGTAATACGCTGATGTTAAGCAGATTGGAAATTACATTCCATTATAATGCCAAAACATCTTATAGCAGTATAATAATAATGTATTTCGCATAATGTTGATTTGACTAGATGTTAGTATATATACTTTGCCTTAAGCGATTCATGTTATTTTGCTGAAATGAAATCCACTACCAGACTCTAAATAAGTAGATTCGGATGGTTTGCCATGCCTTTTTTCTTTGTCAAATTGTGTAATTAAATATTATAATCGAAATGTTAACGTTTATTTGAGTATTATATATAACTTTTTTATTAATATAATATAGCATCAAAAGCATGCACAGAGATTTGTGGTAGGGTAAGCAGAATATGATAAAAAGAAAACAAATTTATTAAAAGTATATGTATGAATTAAATAATTTAGGTTTAGTTGTTGTATGGGCAAGATAAATAATGCTTATTTGGATTTATGGTGTGCTCGCCACTATACCAATAATAATCCTTATTAATACAAATAGTTATAGATAAGGGTAAAGGAAATTTGTATTGGAATAAAAAGAAATCTAATTTTATTATCTATATTGTTGCCTGTAAATTTCTTCAATGCCTACATTTCAGTATTGGTTGTTCGTACGATAATGAATGACGTGTATAAGCTTTTATATAAAAAACTACCAATGACAAATGTAATTGGGATTTCGCGTTCGCGCCATTTTGTTATCAAATTGATTTTATACAATTGAATTTGCTTTATCTACATGATAATAGATTTTAGGTAATTAGGAAATTAAATACGACAGTATTAACGAAATGGCGTATTTTCTGTAGGTAGTTGATTCATTAATAAAAAAATTGAGATGATTTAAATATTTTTTAAACAATAATCCGCATATCTCCAAATTATATTGAAAATATTTTTTTATACGTAAGACCTATATAATTAGATTTTTTTAAGCTTTTAATAGATATTATACGTCATACTTGTATAAATTTCGTTCAGATGCATACACAGCTAGACACAGCCTATATTGAATTCCAATTAAGGTTCACAAAAAGTAGGCATTGTCCATAAAACGTTTATCGCCAACAAAAAGCTTTCCTAGTTTCCGCTGCCATTTCTAAGTTTTTCAACCAATCACAGGCTCGCGTGCCTCGTCGCTATATGAAAGCAATTTTCTCTTGCTTTTATAAATGTTGCTATGCAGTATTCGATTACTTTATTTTATATAGTATTCCTGTATCCTAAACCGTGAATTATTTTAAGTCAATGATGCTAGTACTTACGAATGTTTAATTAGAATAATTTTAAGCTGAGTTTAGTTCAAAATTGCAAGTAAATGGCGTGAAAATTATCATAATTAATATCTAGATCAGACCAATTTAATTCAACCAAATTTATTTATTTTACGTGTTGATTGAGAATTACATCAAATTATATTCATTGCAAACGATCACTAATGTACTTAAAAGTAAAATTCCTTACGTAAGAAGCGTTTTTTTTATGTTTTTTTGTGTCGTTCTTTGATTTGACGACATATATTGAATAAAATTTGCCGTGCCATCCCGTTATGGCATTGTTTGAATAGCCACATCGGCTTGTGCCGACGTTACATTTCCATAATTCAAATGGACACCCACGCTAACTCATTCTTCAGCTCGCATCACGATTAAGTGCTCTTGTAAATTCTTATATGACCCTTAATACGTGGGTATAAAGTTCAAAATGATGTTAAATATATGTTAACACTACCAAGGGAGGTAATCGCATAATTCCACAGCATTTACTATTTCAATTATGTAGTAATTGTTATCTTAGGCACATGCCGTGTATGATAAAAATATACTATAATTTAAATTCTTAGAGGAATCTTTTTCTTATTTCACTATAAATTTTGTGAATTTTTCTTTCTTTTATTACATAATACTGTTATCTATGTATATATTTTTCATTTTTAATATATAATGTTTATTCAAAGTCACTCATACAAATATTATAAATATTTAATTTAGGCACCGCTACTTAATAGTAATAAACAGTAAAACTGTTATATTAGTAATGAGTGTAATTCATTTTATGAAATGTCTATTGTGACAGTAATAAAATGTTATGGTCTAAAAGTATACATGGGTCATGTAGGGCGGATGGGCGGGCGGCGATCGATGGGAAGCACCGCCCTCCGGCATGGCTCTACCAAGTTTATGGATACACGAAAAAAAACTAAATAATATAGAACCACGGAAATAGATAAACAGCTATTCGGCTTAGCGAAACTATACATAAAAAATTACGACTACTTTGCTTATTCGTCGTAATATATGTAAGCTATTTAAAGAAATATATTATAAAAAAGAATCAATTTAAATTTACATTTATAGGGATGGACGAAAAAAAATCTAAGTAATATCGAACCACGGAAATAGACAAACAGTAATTCGACTTTGCGAAAATTATTTATAGAAAAAAACTACTACTTTGCTTAGATTATTCGCCATAATATATGAACGATATATATGTATATTGTAAAGAAGAATCAATTTAAATTTACATTCATAGTAATTGTTACAATAATCACACGTTATAATGAATGTACATAATAATATATATGTATTACCCATCGGCCATCAGAGTCTAACGAAGCATGATATAAACATGTCAAAGTAATATAATAATTTGAACATTATGTACCGCGTCAATACTAAACAGTGGAACGAAGACTCTGTAATACGAGTAATGTTTACATTTCCCATAATTTTTGGTAAACGATGGGTCGAGGGTGTTGCCAGAACGCAATGCGCTCCACCAAAAATGCCTAAAATGTACATTTTATATTCAATACATCCAGCCAACGTTGTTTTTCTTTATAGCAATAATTATTATACAAGTTTATTGCGTAGAAAACAAATGGAACTTGTAAACATCTTGTTCTATAAATAATTATAGCATTTTTGTTTTTCTAGATACGTTAAAAAGAGTATTGAACAAAATTAACACTAAAAAATATTTTAATGACCTAGTTTAATTATAATCAATAAGTAAATATAAAAGAAGTTTTTTTTACTACAGCGTTTCCAACTACCTCGATTAATGACGAAATCTCTATTAAACTAAATTAGAGTTTTAAATTTGAAATGGTTTTAATTTCTGTGCTCAAGTCTCTCCAAACAGGTCAGAAACGCCTTGTGATTTAATCACTATTATTGGATAGTAATAATTTACATAACGGTGTCTTGATACGGTAGTAATATATTTTTTTGTGATTTCTTAGTCTAGAAGGTTCCAGAAGCTTTTCCTAGATGGCGGTAGGATCGAAATTTTTTTTGGTACATGTTTTTTTTCTTTTATATGTATATTAAAGGAATTTCATGTAACGGTATTAAGTTCTATATATATAAAAGTAAATGAATGAACTTTTATAGTTTAAATATAATAAATATAAGTAGGAAAAATAAAAAAGTATTGTTTTACCAAGTTTTATTTATAGGTCTTGTCTGGCAAATGAGATTATTAGTTTTCTTGTATCTAGTTTATCATTATTCTTACTTTAACGATGTTTTAGATTTTGCTGTACCGAGATATGGCCGAGCATCAGCCAAGAACCATCTTACAAACAATCTAGCGCCAGGCCAACTATTGTAATACTTCGTGGAATGTTCAAAGCTGCAGTGTTTAGCGCTCCCAAGGCGTCATTTAGTAACTAGCCACAAAGCACGCCACCAATTACACAACAATCCACTTCGCACGCCACACTTATATAAAATTTTATTATTCGATCATATAGAATCGAGTAATGAAAAATTTATAGCATACTTATGTCAAAGTTAAGCTTAAATAAGAGTACGCTTTATATACAGAAGACATTCTTCGTTTTAATCTAAAGTTTTATTTATACTACATCAATTGTTTGGCAATTCAAAGGAGACATATTAAATTTAAATTCTAGTATGTAATTTAATTTAGTAATGGAATTTCTAAAGAGACATCAACACTTGCATATCATATCCAAGATCGGATCCTGTAATAAAGAAGGAAGCGGGACTTTGCCGATAGAAGCATAAAGATAACTCAGCACTAAACTCCACATAGCCGATTACTCATCAGCTTTCAACATACTAAGTTGAAAGACCACCTGACTTACTCACTTTATAACTGTGCAATAGAACCTACTTTACGAAATATGAACTACGGAAGTATTTTAAATGTTATATCGGTAGAGTTAATATGGTTTAATTTTTTTCGGCAATTTGTTTTTAAGTTTTCTATTATTTAATTTTGATTACTGTAATATAAATGGCGTTTTTTTGTTAGAAGTATCACTCGTCGAAATTCTTTTTTACTCATAAAAGCACGGCAGATCTTATTAAGTTAATTTTGACTTAAATTCTTAAGTATATATTTTATCTTATATATTTTTTGTGTGGTGTTATAAAAAATCCGTTATCAGTAATTACCATTTATAAAGTACGTTGTATATCATATATATGTTTGTCTTCAAGAATTTATACTTGAATGACGACTTAGATTATATCTTGATCTACGCTTCCTGTTATTGCTCATCATCCTTATTCCCTGCAATCCCGTTATGTACAAATTTATTACATGAAACATAAAAAATCACTAATTTAAACTACAAAAACGTTCTATAACATTTCATATTTCAAATATCGATAGCTAATTAGCATATATATTTATAATAATTAAATGCATAAAAGATTATTATGAATAAATCACCGTAAAAAATTATACCCCTATCATCCCTAGCGTCGGATGCAATACATATAGCTTTACTTTAATAATAAAAACATATTAGCCGCATTGCATGTCTATCTTTCCGTGACCGGGCAGTTTTACACCTGGTC